GACACTATTGAGCTTCTCCAGATTATCTTTCCTTATAGTGTCAATACCGACCAACCTGAATTGGTACAGTTTTTTTGTTTCTTCGTGGTTAACCTTAACATGAGAGGTGTCGGTTTTGATTAGAAGTTAGTTGTATGTTCCATAGGTAAAGAAATTTGCAGAAAGTTTCAGATATAAAAAAAGGACAAAGAATTATTGACCATATTATAAGATTTGAATAATATGTATCAGCTTAGAGCTTTTAAAAGAATGAAGTAGACCCCTGTTAAACAATCTTGGATGAACAACTAATTCCAGAATTTTTAATATATTACTATATGATGATACTACTTGGAATGTGAAGAGTTTTCCTGCTTGACTATGCAAACAGTCTTCTACTTTTTTCCCTCCCTATCTTCCTACTCTGTCATGTATTTTGTTATTGTTCTACACTCTGTCATATTGTTTTATCACTATAAAAATTGATTATATAGAGAAATTAATATCTGAATTTTCTAATATGAAATACTTTAACATATGATTAAATCCTTGACAATAATTTATTTTTTGAAGTAATATCCATATAATCTTGTTTAGTAAATATAATTAACTATATCAAGGATTCTAAAAATATAAATATGGAAATGTTAAAATATACGCATGTCATTAGCATTTTTAGATTTCCTTTGTGTGATCTGTTTTGACAATTTACTGTACATTTTCCTATACCACCATATATTCTTTGTCAATTATTTCCATCACCAATAAATAATTTATTATAAAATAAGTAAACTAAATGTTTTGGAATATTATATTATTTAAAGTATATTAATTAGATGAATTTAAAGGTAATTTTAAAACAATTATCCTGTGTTTAGATATGATTCATTTTCTCCAATAAATCATACAGTGGGTTCATTCCCCAATCAGACTATTTTTTTTTTGTGTCTGAACCCAATCGGACTTTTTTTTGTGTTTAACTCCAATAAGTATTATATTTATAAATCTAATAAAATAATTACATATAAAAATATTCAATTTTTGGATAGTTTTTGTTGTTAAAATCAAATATAATGATTATTTTTTGATATTTAATTTTTCCAAGTAATTAAAATTAACTATAATAATAATATACTCTGTGCAGTATATGTCTTAATACATTTGGGCGAAATAAAGATCTTGTAGGTTAATTACTTTAATATGAGTCTTGTTTTTTTTATGAAATATAATAAATTAAATCATGCATATGATAATAAAATTTACCAGTAACTTTAATTGAATTAAAATGTACATGACCAAAATATAAGAATTTATAAAAAATAAATATATTAAACTAAAAATATATAAAATAAAAAAATTATTAAAAAAAACTTGAATTTAATGTTGATGATGTTGACGAGAAGAATGGTGAAAATTTTTTAATGTTGTAAGACTTCTAATGCCCTCCCATGTTTATCACAATCTCTGCAAAATGTTCATATGCAATTCTAAGGTGATGATAAAAGAAAATTTGAAAAAAAAGTCCATTTGGCCCAATAAAAAATAAATTAAAAAAATATTACTGGTAGGGAGTGCATTAATCAAATTCTCAGATATTTATTACTGTATCTTATTTATTAAAAAAATTATTTCTACTATAATCTCATCAAGTTTTCATCAAATTATGGAACATCATGTCCTTTATCATATAGTTTGGATCCCAGTTATTTTTTTTTAAACTCTATTAATGATATAAAAGAAAATTATTGTTTGAATTTATAATTTTGAAGTAATAAATTTATAATTATATTTAATATTGTTAAATTTATTTTAATTCTCAAATGGTAACGATGGTGGTGGTGGACATTTATCTTATTGTTCTAAAATAATGTAATCTTAAAGTATAATACTAGTTGAATTAAAGATTTTATAATTGTGTTCTTTAATCTCAACATATTATTTGTCAATTCATTATATATCTGACTTTTTATTGTCTGTTTTTTTACTTTCCTATTACTTAAACTATTTGATAAATTAGTACAGTATTATTATATAAGCTTTGTATTTATAAAATATAATAAGGATCTTTTTCCAATGATCTTATATTTATCTTGATAAAAAACTTTTGGCAATATAAATGTCCACTTTTCACAACAGTCCTTCTTAATTTTATTGAATATAATTAATAAACTTTTTTTTCTATTTTAAAAGCCAAAAATAATGTATACCAATTGGTAATAATTTGTGGGTTCAACTATATTAACGGTATTACCAAACATAAAATAATTATAATAAGCAAATATAATCCAAGAATAAAGTGTTATAATAATTAATTTTTTGGAATTCAATTTTTATTATTTTTATTAATAGTTAAGTCCTTTACTTATTTTAAAGAATCATCAATTGCTTATTTCAACTTTGACCAAAACAGCTTTTTCCCGGTATTATTGATATGGGTTTCATGTAATAATTGTATGTTTGTATTCTCGTAATAAATATAATTTCTTTCTCAAATATCAATAATTTTGTCTTAAAAGGTATTTTTCTTAAAAATGTAAAGATTTATTAATCTTATAAATTATCATTTTTTAAAATAATTGAATTTGGGCAAAAAAAAGGGAGGAAAGGAAAAGGGGTTAATAGTTTAATCAAATTCCCAATCATTTATATTTAAATAAATGTATAAGCCCCATTATGTCATACAGTTATTAATTGATTCAATTAAAAGTAAAATTTAGAAATTTAGCCAAATTAATACAATATCAAAGCCAGGATTGCTGTGTAAAAAGCCACGATACATAGCCAAAAATTTTGCACCAATAAAATTTATTATCATTAAAAAACCCCATTTTTTATTTATAAAAATTTGTTCATTTTTTTATTCAGATTATATATACATTTTTAGTTGTTAAATTAAACATGTTAATTTTTATAAAACTCTTATAATTAATTTACCACTATTTCTATTATATTTCCTTTATATTCAATTAATGAAATATAAATTATTTAAAACAACAGTTATTAATTAATTTCCTGTTTTGAGTCACGTTTCCTAATAGTTATCCATGATGGATTATGGACCACGAAAAGCAGTAGACAATTACTTATGTCATGGGATACAAATCAAGTGATGCGATTTTTGTATATAGTATATTTTATATATTTTACATGTAAGAAAAAAAGAAATAAATTATTATTGTTATAAACCCAGCTTTGTTGTGACGACATTAGTAACATTAAGTAAAAGATAATATTTTTTTTTGTTTTCTCATATCAATTTGCGTCGCCCATACAATACTAATTATCATTCATTTCTAAAAAAGGACATTAAAATGATCCCTAAAATAATATTATTCGTGATTATCAGTTATGCTTTTTTCTATTTAAACCATTATTACATTTAATGATGGGGCATTCGGTTAAAAGTTATCAAAGTTAGTCTTAATTTCTTTTTTTTTAAATTAGACTAAATTTAACAGTCTTGCTTCGTGTAATGACTGCAATCACTTCCACCAATTCATGCTTCATTTCAAGAATAATTCTTCATGTTTTTTCTTGTGCAATTTCTTTTTGAGTAAATCCTTGTAATTATCTGTTACAATTAGTGTAAGAATTTAACGAATGAACTTATTTGATACTTTCTTTTTTGATATTTTATGAAATTTGTGTAATTTAGAAAAAACATTTATTCTTTGCGTAAAAACGTGCATATCTAATTCTTTTTTCTTTTTTTGTAGTTTCACAAAGAATTTTCAGAGTTATTTGGCAATCGTTCATGTGATTTCATCATAAGTAAAAATATTTTATTTAAATTTGAAATATTTGTTCAAAAAGAAATGTATATTTACATAATATTGGTTAATTGTTATTAAATTGAGTGGCTGTTTTTTTGCTTTGCGTTATTATTATTTTTATCCGTTTATCCATTTTTTACAAAACCATATTTTATTTTTAATCAATCATATTATTTATTTATATTTATTTTAACATGTGATAATTTTTTTGTAACAGTTTCAAAATAATTGTATTAATTAGAACATTTGTACTATTTAAGTTTAAGTTGAAGTGATACGTAATAGTTATTGCGGCTGCGCCGTGAAAATCATGATATTTATACGACACGTGAAATAACTCTTTTATCTCATGGAGACTAACGTCCGGTGATGGGAAAGAGTGAAAAAGGTATAAATAAACTATAAAAACACGTGAGCAAGAAAAATATCATCAGAAAATCACTGATGACCAATTAGTAAACATGAGATAATGTACCTTATTAAATTTTCAGATATAATTTTCTGAACTAATTTTTAATTTTTTTTAAAAAAAAAAAAAATATAAAAAGGAAAATAATTAACCAATAAAAAAAAAGACATGAAATATATAATGGCTTATTTAAAAATAAAAATTTGATCATAAATAAAAAGCCTATTTTTTTAAAATTTATACTATTAAGAAATTCATTGGTTTAAATCAATTTAATTAATCTGTGGCAAAGTTTTTAGCCAAGCCATTTTTTTTTTATCCAAGGCTTAAATTAAAACAGGGCTGTAAAATTTAAATCATATCAAAAACATCTTATTTTTACACAAACAAAAAATTTCACAAGAATTATTGTTGTTCATTTCTATATATGGTCATATGGCTGGCTTTGACGTCAAATGGCTTGTCATGATTTCTAATAAAAAAATATTAATAAATACATGATTTCTATTAAATATGAGAAATTTCCCTTTGAAAAATTCTAAAATTCTTTCAAATGACTAATAACTTATTTGTTGCAAGAAATACTTTATCTTTATCCTATCTCTAATGTATCACCTTCTACCAAAGTATAAAAGACTTTGCCATAATAATTATAATAATTTCTTTTTCATATAATGCATACACAAAGAGCTCCCTATATTTACTAAATGTTTCATCAAGATTTTTAAAATATGGATAGAACTTAATCAGATTATTCAGATTTATCAAATAATGGAAATTCTGTCAAACAGCACTAAAATATGACCATATGTGGAATGGATTGATAAGCCCTTGAAAACATGTATGCAGTAAATATTAAAATTAAATAAGTCATTGCAAATCAACCAATATCCAGAGGTGGAAGTAGATGCAACACAGAAAATTATTATGTGTGCAACTATTGTGTAAAGTTACATCCCCAGAAGAAGTTATTGATACTATTTAAAATATCACAATACTTCTCACCTAAATTTAAGTTTTGCTTTTTACTTTATTTTATATTCAAATATTATGATTAAAATATTCCTGATTGTAGGGAAATAGTCAATCAAAAAATCTTTGATGGTATTATTAATAATAATCAAGAAATGAAGATTGAAAGAAATTTATATTATGAAACTACCATTCATGATTGTATTATTGGATTCACAAGAGGAAAAATTCGTCCTAACATGAGCTCTGCATATCTAATCACTAATCTATAGTGAAATGAATCTCAAAAAGTTCTAAATGAAAATTCTTTTTATTATCAGATAATACCATGATGTAGATAGCAATACTGGTTATTATTTTGTTACTAAATTATAGAAGAAACCAATATGTTACCAGCAATGAGAAACAGAAGCACTGAAAATAATATGACTAATCTTACTGCTATATTTACACTTAACTAATTATAATACCTTTGAATTTATATACTGTTTTATAGTGAAATTCATTAAAATAGAAATAGTAAATAACAAAAGGTTTCAGCTATTACCAAACTGTAAAGTTGACAAAGCACATCAACAAAATTATTTTTTTTTGTTCTAGGGTAGCTCTACAACATCAAAACAAAAGTCCAAGGCTTGTTGGGCTTTACATAAATCAAAAATACACCAACCTGATGGAGGGTATTGTACACAAGGTTCCTGAGATACTCTTGAATGGGAATTGCCTGAATGAACCCTTAGGGTAAGGGAATGAGCAAAGCAGATTGCCATGTTCCACATACCAGTAACTTAGTTTAGCGTATTACAGGGATCTGTAAAAAATGCAATCAAAGAGAAGTTAGAAAACATACTGGTGAAACTTATTTACTTTGAATACAGAGTCATCAAAGAAAGTATCAAGAGTGCATTTCAAATGAACGTCCTAGCAGAGAACAAAAAGAAGGAGAGGGAAAAAGAAATTATTCTTGACTACTTCAAAATTCAAATGGAAAATCAAAAGTGTTATAGTAATTTGAAACTTGATGAAGTCTTACTCAATATTTATAATCGCCAAACTGGTATGCAAAACTTAGAGTCAAAAAAATCTTGACATGGATAGTATTAGTTTTCCAGAATCATACCCACTAAGGTTGCAGGTAGCTTTCATACAAAATATAGAGCTATTTGTTACCTTAATAATTTTCAAACTATGCAAAAGAAATTACAGCAATTTTGTTACTAATACATAAAAATAAGTGAAAGGAAATGATATTATGCAACTCCTCCTTCTTTTACAAATTCATTTCATATTTCCACTCTCGATATACAAGGCTTGAACTCTACAATTAATTAAATGTGAATTATTGAAATACTCATTGTAGAATTTTTCAATATTATTAGACTTATCGTAAATCAGAACTTGCATCTGGTATTTTATTATCACGTGCTTATTATCAATATTTAATATACTGTATATGCTTAAATTATATCAATAATTTAGCTAAGAAAGTACTGCCAGACATGTGCGCTTATTGTGCAAAGAAAGGGCACTGGGATGAAAATTAGCAAATTACAATCAAAGTTTATTCATAAACATTTACCTCTTATTAATTTTATTATAAATATTTTTATTCATATTTTTATAGAAAAGTGTTACATCTCAGATTCTTTGCAAAATCCAGTATTTTATTAGCTATTTGTTTACATCTAATTAGATATTATCTATATGTATAATTAACTTTTACTGGAAATTATACAGGAAAATAACAATGAGAAACTATGTCAAAATGAGGAGATGAGAGACATATCACCACCAATAATAAATCAAACAAAATTCATAAAGACATTGAACAACTAACAGAAAAAATTGTTTGATCTTATTGAAAAGTTATGTCACCTATGTTTTTGCTGTCATTAATTGTAATTCCAAAAGAGAACAACTTATGGAAATTAATATGAAATATTGAACATTATAGTATATAATATTCTAAATAATATGTAGTAAATTTCATTATTTTGTTTGATTGAGTGAGTATTGATGCAGAAGTATTATATTCTTTAATTGTAAGATAATAAAGCAAAGGGCAGTGGAAGACTTGCAAAAATTAATTGATAAAAATATAAAACTAACTAGCAATTCCAACTGTCTATGTGGGAACATCATAATTATGTCCGAAAATTGCTAATGTGACTTGAATTTCTAAATTTGAACTGAATAACAAGATAATTAATTAGATAACTAAAAAGATAACTGAACCATTAATTAGAAAAGATGAAATTAAATTTTATTAAAAGTTAGCCAATCCAAAAACTTCCAGCTTGTTCAAGAAAATAGATATTTAAAAGGACAAGTGGCACGATTAGAAAGAAACAATGAGGAGTTGAAGAAGGATAAAAAGCCATGGCATGGTCGGGGTGTGTGATTTAGAGTTGACATTGGAGAAGTTAGATTATGACTTATAAGTCAGGTCAATAATGTTAAGCTCAAAACAAGTATCTCAAGAAATAATTGAAAAGTCTACTGAACAAAACTTAAAAAGCTACTTTGCCAATAAAAATGAAAGTATTATAATATACCAATCAATATTATTCTTCCTAAATGCTTAAGGTGGTCAAAATGGGGTGAAAGATATTACAGATCATTCAGAACACATTATTATTAATGAAATTTCAATGTATTTATATAGTATTTATTAGTCATATATTTAAATATACAACTTTTGATAGAATAATGGTTCTACTGATTGGAAATTTAACACAACCATCATTTGTTAATGCATTTAATAAATAGAATTATGAACATTTATTTCTATACAAAAAGGTCAATTATAAGACATATAATTCTAAAAATTTTATAGTGCTCAAACCTATTTTAGTTAAGCAACAGCAACAAGTGAACCATGGGGTCATGGGGAAAACTAAAAAATAATAGCCCCTTCAGATAATAGTTCACTTCTGAAAACAATTCATATATTATTTATTAATAAAATTAATGCATTTTCTCTTATGATAGCTTATTACTCCTATTTCTTATATAAGACCAAACCTTTTTCCCTCTCTCTTTTTATTGTTTCCACATAATATCTTTTAATATCTACCCAAATTTTTCAAAAAAAAAATTCTTTGTCTATCTATTTATCTATCACAATGACCTTTTATTACTCCAACACCTCTCATCAAAAATCAAGAGCCAAGTTTCAAAAGTTCACTATTCATGAATAAGGCAATTTCTCTATTAAAGCTGAAGTACCAGAGGGTTAAGGCAATTTTTCTTTATTAAGCCAAGCACCAGAGGGTTAAGGCAATTTTTTACTAATGTAAATAAATGGTGCCTTTTGCAGGTTTAAAGTTTGAAAATCACCTAAGTATGAAGTCTATAGCATAAAGAAAGGAACTGGTTAACAAAGGATCATATGTTTGCAACATTATGGTTATATAGTAACAAGTGATTTGCCCAGAAATTCTCCAACTGATAAATCTAGGTATTAAAAAATGTAATTAGCATTTCAGAAGATATACAAACTTCCAGATGCAATTCAAATTTAAAAAGGAACTCTTTCAAAAATACAATATATGAAAATGGAATTTACAATGATTCTAATGAAAATTCATAATTAAAAACTTATTAATATAGTATTTTTTTTATGAAAACTGGCCTTTTATAACCTACTGTTAATAGGCCAACTGATTGATTTAACTATAATAAACAAGCATTAAGCCATTTTTAAAATGCAGTACATAAAATCCAAGGTTAACACTAACAAATATATGTGTTTTATCTTAGTAAGGAGACTACCAAATATAATATGTAGTACTATTAGATTAATAAATATTTACAGCTGGACAAGCATATGTTGCAATGAATCAAGATACTGATACTTGTAAGAAATGAGATGTCTTATTTATTAAAAAGTGTGATGAAAAAATAGTATCAAATGACTGTTTACTACTAGAAGCTTAGAGAATTGCCATTCAAATGTAATAAAGTAAATTAATTCCATCTTTTGGATTTTAATTGTTTTTTAATATTACAAAATTTTACTCTTGAAAAGTTGACCATGAAAACATGCAATTTATTCTAACAAGCATATATCTGATATACTGATGAATTGGCTATTTTTCCATTTAAAAAGAAAGATGGTGTACTGTCATCAAAAAGCATTGTGTTCAAGTTCTTTTTAAACATCAAAATCAAAAATGTTTGAAATCCACCAAATACTGAAGTCCAATCAGGAATTTACATTTCAAAATTGGCTTATGAATTTACAAAAAGTATTCATAGTAAAAGAAAAACAAAACACAAAAACTAACAAAACTTCTACACTTCATATTACTTACTTTGCCAACTCATCATAGAAATAATACTTGCTGCTACTTAAATAAAGTCCATGAAAGAAGGCAACATTATCAAGGAATGATTTCACTGTAGTAGAAGTACAATACTATCAAGAACTTATTACTTTCATTACCAATTAACTTATACTGTATAAGAAGGTTTTAAACAACCCTTATACTAAAATACAGTATTTTAGATATTGCAAATAAATGGACTCTATCTATCAACTATATATAATTTAAATCATTTAAAGAAGAATTCTTAATTCAATAGTTTAATAGATATACTATAAATTAATCAAAAAATATCTAATTTAAGGTTTTATTTATAATTTGCAAATTAAAAATACTAAAATTATCACTTTACCAACTGATAAAAATAATATTAATAGTTTTTGAAAATTTATATTTTTATTTGGAATTTAAAGATCAAAGATCCAAAAATGAATTATTAATTAAATTTCTTAGATATTTATAGAAAAATTAAACAATTCACTGTAATGATTGTGATCATGATTTATAGGTTTTATATAATATGGAAATTATTAAATTGATTCAGTAAAACTGAACCTTACAAGCAATAAATATTCTATAAAGATTTAACTTGATATAAAGAAGTTTACTTCATAGAAAGTATAATAATTACATAAATTAATGAAAAGTAATTATAACCTATAAACAAATAAGTATGAGATATTGATTGACAAATTAAAGAATGATTGATATATTAATAATTTATAATTATTTCAGAATAATAAAAGGGATAGACAATGTTACATAATATGGCAAGACTGCATCTATAAAAATAAAAATAACTGAAATAAAAAAAAATAATAATAAAAGGGATAGATCATGTGGAAATTAAAAATAATATTAATCAAAAGTAAAACAAAATTAGAGAAGGGAGACCAATTATTATTACTTCCTATATAAAATACACCAAATACTAAGTTCTGCTCCAGATCTTCTTATTGCAAATAATATGGTGCAATTCAATCAATAAGACTTCCAATAATTAGGAGAAACATTACAGAATCAATTCAAAATATTAGATAATGCTGCATTTGTCCATTAGAAACAAATATATATAATGTGTGGAAATATAGTACGTCCAAGTGGATGTAATACAGCAGCTACAGTAATCATAGAACTTTTAATATATAAAAGTTTGAACAAATGAAGTGTTTCTATATTGTTACGATAAAAATGATGTGACGGAATCACGTGATATAGCTGTTGATCAATGGTAATTACCCTGTCTCTTATACACATCTAGATGTGTATAAGAGACAGGATTTAAATATAATCAAAGATAATTTTTTTTTTAATAAACTTTATTAATATTATAATAATTATATAATAACAACCAATTATAATATAGACGTAAACATCTGTTAATAAAGTATCTATATGAAATGTTTAATATATCAAATATATTAAATATATTGCACATATTGCACATATAGTATATATGGCACATATTAAACATTTTAAACATTTTTAGTTTAGTGTTTTTACTTATAAATAGATGCGTTATTTTTTGATGTAATTAGATAGATACAGTATCCAAACACTAAGTTATTTACCGATATTAAATAAAATATTTTATTGTTATTAATTTCTTTGGTTATCTCATTGTCATTTGTTGTCATATACACCTAACCCATTGTTTTATTGTTATTTATCATCATAAATCCTTTATTTGTGTCTGATCGTATTTGTCATTGGGAGTGCAATACTTTATTCACATCTGATCGGATTTGAAGACATTTTGGTCATTTGTGATTTGGAGTTAATTTATGTTTATTAATATTGCATTACTTATTGTCATATTTACTTATACATATCTACTTTCTGCCTACCCTAATTAACCTTTTGTTTATTTTCATAAACACTAAAGAACTGATATTGTTAAATGATATTATAGAACTTTATATTATTATTAATGGTGGAGTAAATACAAGATATATAAGGTAAGAAGAGAGGCAAGAGAGGCAAGAAAGAGAGAAATAAAGAGAAGCAAGGGAGGGAAATTGATCAAGTAGATAATTTAACTCCAGAAAATGGTATGAAACAAGATTGAGTAATACAATTACAAACCCAGTAAATAGTTTTTTTATAAATTTATACCAAACGGGCTCATTGGCTCGAAATTAGCTCAAATTTATGCAAAAAATAATCCAAATTTAAGCTAATCTAGAGCCAATTATATACGGATGAGCCTTCCGAACATGTAAAAGCAAAGGACCTCATTTTATATAAAGTTAATATCGATCTTAATACACAAAACACTCAACGAACCGCTCTCACAAATCCAAATACCGACATTGTGAATGATTTGGGTGGTCAGGTGTTGAGACCTATGGATAATATTGAAAAGAAATTCCCCGCACCCGCTAATGAACATATTCACGTTATCGTCAAGTTACCAGCTTCCCCTGCTGGTAAGTGAAGGAAATAATTTCACGAAATTATCTTTAGTAGAGAAGTTGAAACTTCGATGATTTTTTTTACTACTCTAATCAATGTGATATTTCTTTGACCATTTATATTCTCAGGTACTAAGAGAAAAGCCGATGAAGAAATGGCTGATGATATTAGAGAGATCAAAAAGGATCTTAAAGACTTGGTGAAAGAGGAATCCGCAGTAAACATATCAAGCGTAAACCATGAGGATTGGTAAAGGATTCTAGACTATACTGGTCTTAATATCGACACAATAGAACCTGACGTAGGATCCAACCCAGTAAAAAATGTTCCCGCTTTCAAATGGAACGATGTCCTAGAAAGAGCGCAAAAAGACAGATACACTCATCTTAGGGATACCGTACTCCAAGTTGCCTGGATTAATCGGGATCTCGAACTCATTGATACAACCAATGATAATAATTATCTTGATACACTTTTTGATCTCCTGCCAATAAAACTTACCGGCACGACCGATGCTGATATTTCAGACAAGTGTTCTGTCAAGTCATTCCTCTCAGAGTTCAATATCCGAATTCTTTTTGGATTAAAAAAAGAGGTTGATAGAGTAAATGTATATCAAGCTATGGCAGAACTAGTTGCAGCAGATTTAAAATCTCGATATCCTGTGTTAGCAGTTTTAACCGACTTGCAAGCTCATTGGCAGTTTTTCTTTTTTGGTGAAGGAAAAAGCTCACTACTACCAGAGATCGAGCTGTTGCACTATTGCGAAATGAATTATCTCCAAATAATCGAGCGAATACAGGTGAAGCAGAACAAAAATTATCAAGAAGAAAAAAGCTTGTAGAAATTCTTGGTGTTCCTACTGTTACTCATACGGATTATAACGTAAGTTCTGATATTGCTCCAATAGAAGATTTTTTTGATACTATGACCGAAGAAGAAATATTCAAATTAAAACAAGGTGAATACTAACACAATTTTTTAGCCAGCCGATGTTTAATGATTTGGACATTCAAAGATTACCCTTGCAAGATGCTGAAAGTAATAGATTAGATTAATTAGAATAATTACAATTATTATCAGTCAGTGGTCATGTCACAAAAATTTGTTTGATATAATAAAATTTTTGTTATAGCATTCTCTTCCAATATGCAAAGTTTAAAATTGATCATAACTTATTTTTTTTTTTTAATGCTAAAGAGACTTCAAAAGAAGCCGCATGTTGTTTATCAAACTTTATTAAATTCTATATACTAATTATAAATAAAAAGTGATACATGATGAATTTAAAGTAAAATACACTGCCCAAAAAATCTAAAAAGACTAATCACAGACCAACCCCGTGTCAAGTGCTTGCTAACAAGGCCACTTTTATAAAGAACAAAATTAATTAAAAAAACAAAGACACGTAGTTAACGTGCAGTATAAAACCCAAAATATCTCCACTGAAATATATTTTGTTTCTAAGATATTCTAAATTAGTTTCTATAAAATCAAAATTAGTTGAAAATTTATTAGTAAAAATAAAACTATCTATATAATTAGAAGAAATATATTCTCTTTTTTTCTTTTTAGTAATTGAAATTGTTTTTCAAGAGCAAGCTGAATTATACAACGAGGCTTCCATATTTGTCCATAATTTTTTGATGATTTTAATCACCTGATTATAATTTATCCGGAATTGCCCGATTAAACATAAAGTTAATTGTTTACGCATTATGGTGATCATTTGCAACATTGCTAAGTTTATTTTGCAATCCTAATCTAGTTCATAACGTTACACGATAATTTAATAATTTATAAGCTTGCATTTTTTTTTTTTTTTTTAAAAAAAAAAAAATTTTACGGATAAAAAAAATTTTTAATATAAAATCCAATATCAAAAATGAACTTCGAAAATCCAAAAAATTTATGGAAGGATGTCGATCCAGATGAATATCAGGTTAAAAACAATACTATTTTATATTTAATATATTATCGAATTTTTATTAATTTTTTTAAATATTTATTTTGAAAAGTATCATGTTACAATTTCTGATATTGGTGAGTTAGATGAAAGAGTAGTTGATATAAAAGATTTAGAAAAAAGAGAACAAGTTTATGGAATATGTGGAGAATGTAATGAACCTGGGACTGGTGGTCATTGGTGTCGACCTTGTAATGCTAAAAGATTTAAAGAAAATTTTAAAAATTGGACTAGCGGAAATGATTATGTTGATGAATTGATACAACATGCTCAACTTGACGCTGTATATCATAAAAAATGTCTTGAATGGATACCTTTTAAGAATTTTGAAGATGTCACTTATATTACCAGAGGCGGTTATGGTAAAATTTTTTCTGCTAGATGGCCTGAGGGTTATATCTATTCTTGGGATATTGAAAATAAAAGATGGGAAAGGATAAGACTTAATAAATTTGCATTAAAGAGTTTAGATGATTCTTCTTGTATAAGTACAGAATTTTTAAATGAGGTAATTTAAAATAAGAAATTTGTTTTATTTATTTAAAATTGTCTATAAATTTAAAATAATTTTTTTTTTTTTTTTTTTAGATTAAATCTCATCTTCAAATTTATCTTTATGATGTTATTCCCTGTTACGGGATAACGCAAGATCCAGATACTAAAGATTATATGATGGTTTTAGAATTTTGTAAAGACGGAAATTTGAGAAATAATTATTTGAGAAGATCAAATAATTATTATTCAAAAATTCATCATTTGTTTTCTATTTCAAGTGGACTTCTGGATATTCATAATGCTGATAAAGTTCATAAAGATTTTCATTCAGGCAATATATTATTTGGTATTTCTGGTTCATTAATAAGTGATTTGGGAATGTGTCAACCAGAAAAGCAATTAAAAAAAGATGGAATTTATGGAGTATTACCTTATGTTGCACCAGAAGTTATACGTGGAAAACAATATACAAAAGCATCTGATATTTATTCATTTGGAATAATGATGAATGAATATATATCTGAAGAAATTCCTTTTAATGATATCCCTCATGATGAAGTTTTAGCTGTTAGAATATGTAAAGGAATTAGACCAAGTATTTTTAAATATACACCAAAATTACTTACAGCTTTAATTGCTAAATGTTGGGATGCTAAACCAGAAAATAGACCAACAGCTAAGGAGCTATTTCAAATATTAAGTAAATGGGATGTTAAAGCAAAAAGTAGATTAACTACTAAAGAATTTTTTCAAATATTCCATAAATTAGGTATAAAAACGAATAAAGATAGTGAGGTTCGTTCTGAAGTGGATGAATATGATGATAAAATCAGATTAAACAGAACAGATAAAAAAATATCTAGCGATATTCAAACACATCCACAAGCTGTCTATACTAGTAGACTTTTAAATTTCAAAGATCTTCCAGAACCAATAAATTCAGGTAATTTAATTTTATCTACTTTGATCTAGAAATTTTTTTTTTATATACTAACTATTAAAAAATACCCTTTTAATAATAAATACAACATCAAAGTAAGTATTTTATTGTTTGATTTGATATATTATAATAATTATATATTTTTTTTTTTTAACGTTGTTTTAATTAATTTATAGTTTCAGATTGTCTTGATTGCCAATTAGATGAATCAAGTAAGATATTAATTATTTTATAAGTTTTTTTTTATTTATCAATATTTTAACTTAATTTTATTTATTATTTTATTTATTTAATAGTTCTTCGTGAAATTAGTCAAGAACAAGATGACGAAAATAGCGTCGAATGAGTTCTTTCATATTATAAAGATTAAGAAATTAGTATGACTAAATATAAACATTATTATAATATTAGGTTATTGTATTTATTACTTATCAGTTATAGGTTTATATATCATGTCTCTGTTTTTTATTTATTCATATTAAATTGTTTACAAATAAAATTTTTATATTATTAACGTAATAAGAAATTTGCGATAATCCGTAATCATGTAATCTGCGATAATAAATGAAAGCATAGGCCCTTTTCTCTACTAGATTAACTAGATTATATGCATTTTAACATCTAGAGCTTCTAGGGAATTTAATTGACTTAAAAAAAACATAATCGATTATTGAATGATAATTGATCGTGATATTCGAATAAAAAGTTATACTGTATCTATTAATATAAATTGATTGTAATCAAACAATAATTTTTATTAGAATAAAAATTTAAAAAAAGTTTTTTTATAAAATTCTATAATTCCAATCATTGATCGATTATAATCGACTCAATTATAGTAAAATTTCTTAACAATTATTATTTAATATAAAGCTTATGGAATTTAATTAATATGATGGTCATTCTGGTCCGAATAATAATATTGTTATTGTATGAGCGTGCTTAATAATGATTTGATGTGGCGCAAAGCGCCACATCATTAAGCACGCCCGTATAGATAATATACAATTATTTACTATCCAAAGAAACGAAATCATACGATTATTTTTAGTTCAAGCGTCAGCGTTATTACCGTTGGATTACAAGCAATGTCGTATCCAAGGAACGAAATCATACTTTCGGAATTATTTTTCAATTCAGCAGGTTGATATGTCATATAATACCAAACGGCAACTTTTCATTCAATTACGAGATCCTGGTAGTTCCTTTGCCATAAAATTCTTCGAATATTTTCGATAATGCTGTCTAATTGAAGTAAATGTATCTATAATAGATTTTGTTATACCCAGATTTCTTTTATTGATTCTTATAACTGTATTCACGATATATCAGGACCCAGAAATATATATAAAAGGGTCAGGTTTGAGTTTGCGTATTTTGAACTAAAAAATCATGAAAATCTTTCCTTTTTTAGATAATTTTTGATAATTTCAGTCAGAATTTTATTTCCTATTATAGTAACCGACTGACATTATCATAATTCCGGCCCTGAAAAAATGCGTACAGCTCATAGTAAAAAAATTTTTTCATCACCTGACCCCTATATATATTATTTCTGGGTCCTGATATATCCATTGGTTATCCCAAATTCAGTTTTAACACTATATTAATTCATTAATCCTATTATATCCGCATCATATGTACTTTTGATCTTTCGTGCATCCTCCCAATATAAACTTTATATTCTTCAACATATAATCTATCATCAAGAACTATGAGTACAAGGATTAAACACTCCTTTAATAGAACAATATAAAATACTGAGAACTCTGTTAAATCAATAAGTAGGTTTATCATCCTTTTCCGTAAAATCTGGAAATGTATTAGCGCAAAGTTCAGATAAAAGTATTACTAGTTTTCCAGTTTTTGGGAAATTTACCGCTTCTGAATGTAATTGCGCGTCCATTAAATACACTAGAATCAAAATAATTTTGCTTTCTAAATGGGAAATTGCAATTGTACCAAGTTTATCTGATAAGATATAATTCATAAAAAAATGATTAAATATCCACCATTGTTACGTAATCAACTGTATTGGGTCTTTGATTTCTTGGGGAGTTGAGCGTTCATAATATATTATTAAAAAAAAAATTAATTTTTCTTTAAAGATAAATTTTATTCACAAATAATTTAAAACCATATGTGAATAATAATTTAGATATACATATGTAAAAATCGTTACCATCAAATCAGCACCAATACATTGATTAGGAATATCATGAAAACCAGTCGCTGGAAATACTATCGCGTCTAACAAATTCTTACGATCTACAGCTGTAACCACTTGTACTGTATATTGGGTTTAATATAAGTGTTTTTAGATTCTATAAATCTTTACCTCTGATTAAAAATATGACAATGGATCGTAAATACGTCTCTTTCTTACGTAATTCCTCTCCAATAAATTGTAATTTTGATAATAACTTCATTAAGGTTATAATTATGAAGATACTAATTAAAAGAAATATTACGTTCTACCATGTAAAAAACGTTTAAATTTAAACGATTAACATATTTTCGTAATAAATTAATCCTATATACTGATTTGTTACTCTATTATTAATTTGCTTTGATACTAAATTATATTCTTTAGATATTTTAAATATTTCCAAATACTTTCCAAAGGCTTGTCATCGATTTTATCCAAGTCGAAATCGACTAATTTATCTTTATCAGGCGAAGAGGTATGTAGCCGGAAAAGAATAAAATGTTAATTTTAATATCTATTGATACGTATTAGTTTCGCGAGTAATCAGATACAGGTATTAGAAATATATATATAATAAAAGTCAAAAATAAGAAAATAAACAAAACGAAACAAAATATTATACGAACTTAAAAGTGACGTAGGCAACGCCTTTACTTTCATTATAATCATTCGTTTCAATTGAGAATAAGTCTAAGTTGGATATATTTAAAATTAAAAAGATTTGTTGCGTGCTTTATAATCATAGAACGATTCGGTTTTGTACAGATACGATGTAGATAAGTTACAGGTACAAGAGAGTATATAGTAAAGTAGTATGGTGCGATATGATACAATAAGTAAGGTATTATTAATTCGGTAAGACGATAGTATGGTGTGAAATCGATATTAAGTATGATTAAGATAACAAAACTATACTCAACTGTAATAGTGTATATTATCAATCGAGAAAAGTATTGTACATTTGTACTTATATCAACTGCCATATTAAGTTATTGTGAATTTTTTATTAAAATCTTTAATTATTACTAGTCTTAATTGGCCTTTTCACAATTATTTTTATTTCAGGTTCCCTTAAAGCAAGTTCACGTTCTTTTAATACTAAAAACTAAATCTTTTCCCCTCTTGCTTTCTTGCTTTAAGCTTTAAAGCCAACTTACTTTCTTATTATTGTCTTCTTCACAATCATTGGCTATAAAAATATGCTAATATTTCCGTAAATATTCACCTAACAATACCTCAATAAGATCCTCTTCATAAATGACATCTCCTCTATTAACAAAATCAATATCCATAGTTTATATAGTGCGAGATAATATTTTTTGCGTGAAACAATGAGCAAAGATAATAATATTTTTCGTGTAAAACAAGTGGAGATAATATTCTTCTTTTGGGTGAGTAACTTCATAAGCGAAATATTATTCTATATACGCGAAAATAATATCTATACATACGCAGCAGTAGTATTTTACAAATCATGTTGTAGAGTAGATTATTTCACGTGACATACTATGGTTGACCCCTTTTCGACTTTTCGTATTACTCTTATTAATTATGTACAGGTCCGTAAGCGTACCGATCGTACCGAATCCGAATCGAAAACCATAGGAATTATAATATCACATGAATAACCTTTGGGTATGATTGATCACATTAAATTACGGAATGAATCTTATTTTAAAAGTAATTTTTTTCAATACTACAGTACTACTAAATCGTAAGCGCAATCTAGCCTCAAAAAAAAAAAAAATGCGAAATATACTGAAAACCACTTTATAACTGGTTGAATTTTTAATTTATTTTGAAATAATTAAATAAATCTTTAATGTAAATTTTTTTAAGATGTAAAATCGTAATTTAAAGGACATTGATAATATATTTTAGTATTTTACAGTAGTATTATAGACGAAATGAAAACTAGTTTTATAAAAAATTTCCCAAAAATAATATAGGTAACCTGTAAGTTTGGTTGTATTTATATAGTATATCCAGAGAAACAGGTACGGTAAGCGGTTATTAAAGCTTTCATACCTAAAAAATAATAAAGCACCTGCTGGTACCCACAACCCACCGACCTGTATTAATTATTGCGCATGTTTCCTAAAAGTAACACGCATGTCGGCGTATATCTGATATTCCAAAGGTAACATGCGTAGTTTCCACTTTCCAGCGCATATTCCCAAAGATTATTATCGCGCTTTTCAAAATTGTGTTAGTCCCTATAGATCATCTGATAAAAAAATCATTAGATTACAGAACAATTACCGGACAAAAATTGGACAATGTTGTCCTATAATCGTCCTGTAATTATAATCGCTCGAGTAATCACAACGTACACAGAATTTTGAAAACCGCTGCGATAAAATAAAATTTTCAGTTATTGAAAATAAGTAATTTTGATTTTTTTTTTTTTTCTACAATTGTAGTAAATTTACTTTATTTTTAAAATATATTAGATAATGCTTTACTTTATATGGAAAATCAACATGTTTTCTTGCGCATATACCTTTAATTTTTATTTAATTTATCTAAAATTTGCGTATATACGGTACCTATAAGAAATGGTTACACTGCGGAATCAGATGACTTAAAATCAAAAAAAAATTTTACAGGTACATCAGTATCATTTATTCTGTGCAATAGAAATAAATATATAGTTACAATGTTTAACTGATGATCTTGTACCCGTCAGATAATATTTTTTTTTTTTTTAACTTGTCAAGAACTTGTTTAATTGCATGATTGTGAACCAGCATTCATAAACAAATAAATTTCTTATATAGTTTCAAAAAAAACAAGAAAGGAACGGGGAAAAAATTAAGCTGAACAACATATACTGTAATACAATACATTTTTATTTTATTTCACATGACTATGAGAAAATTTATATTCCTTAGTAAAATAACCTTGTGAAGGTGAGGTATTATTACATATTTATTATTTTCTTTAAAAGGAATAATAAAAAACGGCGCAAGGTCTTCAAAGAACTGAATAAATCAAACGACCATTCATCTACAAATAAGGTTTAATTATCGGATTTTCAATCGGTGTATGCTATAACGGGTCAAATGATTCGACGCAAACCATTTACTAATAAAATCGATGTTACGTGCTACAATAAACTTAATTTTCGATGTACCTATAGATCGTCGTGCAATTTCATATGACACTATATAAAATCGGATATAGATCCGGTTTTGATAGTTTTTTGTTTTGAGGATTGTCTATTTTCGTTGTTTCTAATAGATTTGTGCGACATGACGATAATATGGACATAATATTACCCTATATCACGGGCCAATCGGGCCATAGTACCCCATGTATAGTACCCCCTAAGTCACATTCTCCACTGATTTTATTATATAAATAATCCAACAAAAACCTTAGGGTTGACGTGTAACAATACCCTAATTATTTTGTAAGTTTTAAACACCCTCTATTAATAGTAAAAATTCGTGTAATAGGGGGGGGGGGAGGGTACAGGGCAAAACTTCCGAAATTCGCACGATACCCAGCCACCCAAGATACTGTTGCCCACGATATACGGTAATTCTTGTCCTTTTGCTATTAATAAAGTATTACAGTTTAAAGATTGGCAATATTTGATAGGAAGGAAAATTTGATCATTAAAATCAACTTTGTTCGTTTAAATTTGCACCTGTCACTTGATCTTTTTTTTCAAATTGTAAAACCTCATTTAATAAAATTAAAAATTTTTCTGTATAACTAACTGTTCTGTCACTTTGTTGACCGCAACCTAAAAGGTGTTGAAGATTACGTTCTTCGAAAAATTATATGTAAAATTTTTCAAAAAATTTAATAAAAAATATGATTTTAATCTTTTTTTTTTTCAAAAAGTGAATCTAAAATAAAGTGAACAAAATAAATACTACAGTATAAGGTTTATAACGATTATTCTACGACTTGCTTAATATTATTGAATATAGCATTTTTTTTATTGTACATGAAAATTTTGTTGGCGGAATTACTATATTTAAAAACAACATTATGATTCATGCAGATGACCATTTTAATCAGTAAATGGGAATTTTAATTATCAAATATCTATTTTTATTTTATTTTATTTCCATTTTTATCATTCCCGAAACAAATTGTCGTACTATCATTTAATCTGAAAAATCTAACCATATACAGTATATACAGGATATTATCCTGTATACAGTTCGGCGTTTTTACTTTGTTGAAATTACTATAATTAAATAAGTTGATTGTAACGATTGTTTCCCTTTTTGTTTTTGTGCCGATCGCGATTTTAAAAAAACCCCTTATATAACGTCGGCGGAGGCGTCGCTGTTTCCACAATACCCTCCTTTAAAATTTTATTTTTTCTTTGAATTCTGAAATTATAATTTTATAACTTATTTGGTATATACATATAAACAGTGCAGTATATGTGGTAAAATGTCAAATTTATGTGAAGAATGTGGCAACGAATATACAGATAAAATATGGAAATGGTGTAAACCATGTCAAATAAATTCTCTTAAAAATTATACCACAATCAGTGATAATGAAAAAATTAATAATTTCATTCAAAAAATGCGATCAAAAATTGATTCTTTTAGTGATATATTATTTGAATGGATACCATACGATCAATTCAATAATATTAACAAAATAAATGATTTTGCTAATGCAATATGGACGGATGGTCGATTAGGATTTAGTTTTTTTCAAATAAAATATATAAGGGCTAAGAATATAAAAGTTTCTTTAAAATTCTCACAATATAATATTGATGAATTTCTAAACGAGGTATAAATTTCTTTATTCGTTAATTAAATATTTTTTTTATTTTTGATTTTTTTGAAATATTAATTATTTATTTTATAATAGGCCAACGAATATTCAATTAAATTTCATCAATTTGGAATCCGCAAAATATATGGAATATCACAAAATCCAAATACAAAAGAGTATATTATGGTTCTTGAGAAAGAGAAATATTGTGAAAGATGCGATAATTTATACACAAACGGGTGTAAGTCATGTCAAATAAATTTACTTAAAGAAAACTTTACAAACTGGACCAGTGGAAATGAAAAAATTGATAATTTCATTCAAGGAATGCAATCAGAAATTAATGATTATAAAGACATCATATTTGAATGGATTCCATATAATCAGTTTGATGATATTAATGAAATACTAGTTGAAAATGATCTTACTATATATTTGGCAAAATGGAAGGATGGTCCATTGTATTATCATAGTGATAAAAAGGAATATATAAGATTGAAAAATAAAAAAGTTTCTTTAAAATGTTTTCAAAATTTGCAAGATAAAGCTGGAGAGTTTTTAAATAAGGTATGTAATGTCTCTATTTTAAATTAGAAATTCTCATAATTCAATACTAATTTTTTTTTTAATAGGTTAATTTACAAGATGATGAAGATAATCAAGATATATTTGGAATATCTCAAAATCCAAATACAAATGATTACATAATAGTTCTTCAAAATGGATATTGTGAAAAATGCAATCAAAAATATACAAATGCAAATTACAATTGGTGCAAATCATGTCAGAAAAATTCTCTTAAAGAAAACTTTACAAACTGGACCAATGAAAATGAAAAGATTAACAGCTTCATTCAGGAAATGCAATTAAGAATTGAAAGCCCATTAGATATAATATTTGAATGGGTATCATACAATCAATTCAATGATATCAAAGAAATAAATGAAGATGGGTTTACTAAAGCAATATGGAGTGATGGTCCATTAAATTATGATAAGGATAAAAGTGTGTATAGGAGGAGTCAGAGTAGCCAAAATAAAGAAGTTGCTTTAAAATACTTATACAACTTACAAAATATCACTAATGAGATTCTAAATGAGGTAAGAAATTCTTTGTTTATTAGTAAATATTTTAATTTAATTGTAACTTTATTATTTCGTTTAATAGATTGGTAAAACATACTCCATTAAAAATCAAGATAACAATATTCGTAATATTTATGGAATATCTCAAAATCCAAATACAAAAGAGTATATAATAATTCTTCAATATGCAAATTGTGAAAAATGTATTAAGAAAGAAGAATGGTGTAAATTTTGTGAAATAAATTATCTTAAAGAAAATTTTGCAAATTGGACTAGTGGAAATAGAATGATTGATAATTTCATTCAAGAAATGCAATTAAAAATTGACAATCCATTGGAAATAGTATTTGAATGGATACCATATGATCAATTCATTGATATTGAGGAAATACTAAGTATAAATGATAATTTCACAATGTATTCATCAAAATGGAAGAATAATATGTTAATATATCTTAAAGGAGAAAATAAGTATAAAAGGCTTCAAAGTAATCAAAATAGACAGATTATTTTAAAAGGTTTACATAACTCAAAAGATATTATTAATGATTTCCTAAACGAGGTAAGATTTCACTATTAATATAATTTTATTATTTTTTATTCATTATAATAATTTCTTATTTATTTTAATAGGCTAAAAAATATTCAATTAAAATCAATGATAATATGCGCAACATATATGGAATAACTCAAAGCCCAAAAACAAAAGAATATTTTATGGTTCTACAAAAAGGATTGTTTTGTGAAAAATGTTATATAAATATCATAGATAAATGGTGTAAACTATGTCAAATAAATTTTCTAAAAGAAAACTTCACAAACTGGACTAGTGGAAATGAAAAAATTGATAATTTCATTCAAGAAATGCAATTAAAAATTAATTATCAGACCGATATTGTGACTGAATGGATACCATACGATCAATTCAATAATATTAAAGAAATAGTTATAAATAATTTGGCTTCAGTATACTCAGCAATATGGAAGGAAGGTCAATTAGATTATGATGAAAGCAAAAATGAATATATTCGAAATCAAAATAAAGGAGTTATCTTAAAATGTTTACATAATTTTCAAAATATTACTGATGAATTTTTGAATAAGGTATGAAATATGTACTTTATTTATCTTGTTAATTATTGTTATATTTTTTCGTATAATAATAATTTTATTTTATTTACAGATTATTAAGACATATTCTATTAAAAAGCAAAATAATATTCGTAATATATATGGAATAACTCAAAGTCCAGATACAAAAGACTACATCATGGTTCTTGAAACCAATAGTGAATATTGTGAAAAATGTGACAAAAAATATAAATATATATTTGCTAAATGGTGTGAGTCATGTGAAATAAATTGTCTTAGAGAAAATTTTACAAACTGGACCAGTGGAAATAAAGAAATCGATAATTTCATTCAAAAAATGCAATTAAAAATTAATTATCAAACTGATATTGTGGCTGAATGGATACCTTATAATCAATTTGACAATATTAAAGAAATAAATAAAAATGGAGTTGCCGAAGCAATAAAAAACAATAGTATTCATTCAGCAATATGGAAAGATGGTCCATTGAATTATGATAAATATAAATATACTCGAAGCAAAAACGAAAAAGTTACTTTAAAGTGTTTGCATAATTCTCAAAATATTACTGATGAATTTCTAAATGAGGTATGAAATTACTTTATTTGTCTAGTCAGTCAGTTTTTTCTAATATAATAATCACAACTTCATATTATTTAACAGATTGCCAAAACATACTCCATTAAAAAATATAATTCTAATAATATTTGTAATATGTATGGAATAACTCAAAGTCCAAATACAAAGGAGTATATCTTAGTTCTCCAAGATGGATACTGCATAAAGTGTTTTAAACAATATTCGAATAATTGGTGTAAGCCATGTGAAATAAATTCTCTTAAAGAAAATTTTGTAAACTGGACTAGTGGAAATGAAATAATTAACAATTTTATTCAAAAAATGCAATTAAAAATTACTTCAGGATATGATATAATACTTGAATGGATACCTTATAACCAATTTGATGATATTGAAGAAATAGTTAAAATTGATTCTATTCCGGTGCATTCAGCAATATGGAAAGATGGTCCATTGGATTATGATAAATATAAATATACTCGAAGCAAAAACGAAAAAGTTACTTTAAAGTGTTTGCATAATTCTCAAAATATTATTACTGATGAATTTCTAAATGAGGTATGAAATTACTTTATTTGTCTAGTCAGTCAGTTTTTTTTTAATATAATAATCACAACTTCATATTATTTAACAGATTGCCAAAACATACTCCATTAAAAAATATAATTCTAATAATATTTGTAATATGTATGGAATAACTCAAAGTCCAAATACAAAGGAGTATATCTTAGTTCTCCAAGATGGATACTGCATAAAGTGTTTTAAACAATATTCGAATAATTGGTGTAAGCCATGTGAAATAAATTCTCTTAAAGAAAATTTTGTAAACTGGACTAGTGGAAATGAAATAATTAACAATTTTATTCAAAAAATGCAATTAAAAATTACTTCAGGATATGATATAATACTTGAATGGATACCTTATAACCAATTTGATGATATTGAAGAAATAGTTAAAATTGATTCTATTCCGGTGCATTCAGCAATATGGAAAGATGGTCCATTGAATTATGATAAAGATAAATATAAATATACTCGAAGCAAAAACGTAAAAGTTACTTTAAAGTGTTTGCATTCTCAAAATATTACTGATGAATTTCTGAATGAGGTACGAGATTTCTTTATTTGTTTAATCTCATTTTACTTAATATAATATTCACAACTTTATATTATTTAACAGATTGTCAAAACATACTCCATTAGACAATATAATACTGATGGTATTTGTAGTAGTATATATGGAATAACTCAAAGTCCAAATACAAAAGAGTATATTATAATTCTCCGATATGGAACACATTGTGAGAAATGCAATAAAATATACACAGAAAAAGATTATAAATGGTGTAAATCATGCCAAATAAATTCATTTAAAGGAAATTTTGTACACTGGACCAGTGGAAATGAAAAAGTTGATTTCATTGAAAAAATGCAATTAAAAATCGATCACCCATTTGATATAGTATTTGAATGGATATCATATAATCAATTCAGTAATATTAAAGAAATAGATTTTGGCATAACATATTCAGCAATATGGAAGGATGGTCCACTAAATTATGATAAAGATAAAATGAAATATATAAGGAGCCAGGCAACCCAGAATAAAAATATTACATTAAAATACCTGTATGGTTCTTTGCAAAATATCACGGATGAATTGGTATGAATTTCTTTATCAGTTAAAATAAAAAAGTATTTTTATTATATTAACAATTGTTTTTTATTTAACAGATTTTTAAAATATACTCCATTAAAAAGCATTCAGATATTCGTAGTATTTATGGAATGTCTCAAAATCCAAACACGAAAGAGTTTATTATGGTCCTTCAAGATGGATATTGTGAAAAATGCGATAAAAAATATACAGATTTAGAGCATAAATGGTGTAAACCATGTCAAATAAAATCCTTTCAAAGAGTTTTAGACGGGAGAAATGAAAAAATCAATAATTTTATTCGAGAAATGCGATTAAAGATTGACACTTATAATGATACAGTGGTTGAATGGATACCGTACAATCAATTCAATGATATTAAAGAAATAGCCAAAATAGCTAAAAATGATTCGGTTACAATATATTCAGCAATATGGATGAGTGGCCAATTATGTTATAATGAATATGAAAATAAATATACAAGGAACCAGATAAGAAAAAATCATGTTGTTACTTTAAAATGCTATAATTCTCAAGGTATTACTAATAAATTTTTAATCGAGGTATGAATGTTCATTAATTCATTAAAAGAATAATTATGCGATTTATTATAAATTAATTTATTACTTATTATTTATAAATAGGCTAAAGGATATTCAATTAAATATAATGATGATGAAATTCGCAAAATTTATGGAATAACTCAAAATCCATTGGATACACAAAATTATATAATGGTTCTTCAAGATGGATATTGTGAAAAGTGTAGTAAAAAATATATGAATATACTTACTAAATGGTGTAAACCATGTGAAATAAATTCTATTAAAAAAAATTTTATAAGTTGGTCTAGTGGAAACTATACGATTGATATATTTATTAAAGAGATGCAATTAAAAATCGACTTTCATAGTGACATAATGTTTGAATGGGCAACATATGATCAGTTTGGTGATGTTAAAGAAGTAATCAAAACAGATTCTGATATAGTGTATTCAGCAATATGGAAAAATGGACCATTAGTTTATGATAAAGATAAAATAAAATATATAAGGAGTCAGAACAAAAAAGTTGCTTTAAAATATTTACATAATTCTCAAAATACAACTACCGAATACTTAAATGAGGTATGAAATTTCTTTTTTTTATTTAGTAAAATGCTTTTTTGGTATAATAATAACCCAATTTCATTCAACAGATTATTAAACTATACTCTATTAAAGAATATAATTTTAATCGTAAAATTTATGGGTTAACTCAAAATCCAGATACAAAAGAATATATTGCGATTCTTCAAGATGAATATTGCGAAAAATGTGGCAAAAAATGCTTAAATACAACATCATGTACTTGGTGTAAACCATTTCAAATAGACTATGGTTTTACCAGTATAAATATAAATGAAAAAAGTGATTCAAGTAACAGTAGTAACAGTAATGCCTTTAAATTTGACTTTAATTTTACTAGCAATAAGGATAATTTTAAAAAGCATCATATTACCAAAAAGCATCATATTACCTCAACAAATAATAGTGAATTGATACCATACAGTCAGTTTAATAATATTAAGGAAATAGGTAAAGGAGGTTTTTCTATAGTATATTCAGCAATATGGGAAAATGGTATCAAAGAATCGACAAATAAAAATGTTGCTTTAAAATACTTACATATCTCTCAAAATATTAACAAGGAATTTTTAGAAAAGGTATAGTAATTCACTTACTAATATGGTATAGTTTAATACAAATCTTAATAATATAATAATTTTTACTTTAATAGGTTAAAATATATTCGGTAAAAAATTCTTATATCCTTGATGTATATGGAATAACTCGAAATCCAGATACAAAAGAATATATTATAGTTCTTAAATATGTAGAAGGTGAAAGTTTTGATAATTGGATAATTAAAAATAATAAAATTTTTAGCTGGGAGTACAAGATGAAATTATTATATAATATTACATATGGCCTGAAAATAATTCATCAAAATCACATGGTCCATCATAATTTACATGCAGGAAATATATTAATTCAAAATCAAAATATACCTTACATTTCAGATATAGGACTATATAATATGAATCAAACTCAAATTTACGGAGTTATGCCTTACGTAGCTCCTGAAGTATTAAAAGGAAAGGATTATACTGAAGCAGCAGATATCTATGGCCTTGGTATGGTAATGTATTTTATAGCCACCGGAAAACAACCATTTTTTAATTGTGCACATGATCAAAATTTAGCTTTAAATATATGTAATGGAATTAGACCTGAGATAAATGATTTAGAAGCACCAAAATGTTATATTGATTTAATTAAAAGGTGTTGGGATTCAAATCCAGTTAATAGGCCAAAAGCAACTGAAGTAGAAGAACTGGTTAAATTATTTTACTATTCATATAAATATAATAAATCACATGAATTAGATTTTAAAATGATTATGAAGATTGAAAAAGTACAAGAGCATTATGAGATTGAAAAGCAATTTAAAGAAGCAGAAGAATTTAAAAAATCAAATAATTTAACTGTAGAAAATAATCCAATTACTCATTCACAAGCTATTTATACATCTCAATTACTAAATCCTTTTATAAATGATCTTCTCAAAATGTGATGATACTGAAAGCTTTAGTTTTAACTTTTTATAAATGCATAAATTAGTTTCAAAATAGTTTTTATATAGTTTATTTTATTCTACTTATTTTTTTTTTTATAACTGAATGGCATTTATATATATGTATTTATTGTTCAACACTGATAATTATAGAGTACTCTTTTTTACAAATAAAATCAGTTTGTAATTGAACAAATAACTCAGATTTTAAACCCAAGTATACACTTTAATGTATATGCTTAATTGTAAATTATGAATTTGTATTAACATTCTATTTCTCTTAATATATATAAAATACTAAGTTTGATACACCGTGTACTAATCGCTCAAAAAAGTGAAGCAGAATTAAATATTAGAGAATTTTTAAAATAAAACAATATTAGTAAATTATAACTGGTAAATATTTGTAGTTAAATAAATCAATAAATTGAATGATTGACCATATACATACTGTATAACAAGTGCAAAATATAAATTATTGAAATGAAAGAAATCTAAATACTTAGATAAAATTTTCAAACATAATTAATTATTTATTATGCTAATAAATCTGTGGCACTGTTAAATTATAACTTTTGTAACGCAACATTGATCTTTGTTAAAATTAAAATAGAAAAATCAGAATAAAAAATCTAAGGATAGTAATACTACAGAAAATAATGGGAGATTATTACCGGCTCGATCAGCTCAAAGGTCTAGTTCATTACAATAGGAATAAAAATGTTGAAAGTCATTATAAATCATGTTTGAATTTGAAACATTTTCATTTCATTATTATATTTTGACAAAATTCAGAATAATTTCGATTCAAATATGGTATATTCTTGCATAATAGTGATAGTATGTGAAGAATTTTCTTTGAAATATTCAAGAGTTTTGGTAAAAATTGATTCTATTAGTATTATATTGTTCTTCTTTTATTACTGATAATAATAGGTTCTCTCTGTAACAGGCCAAAAAGTATTTTGGCTTATTACATATTGCTTTTTAAAATCCATCATTATCTGTAAGTTGGTCTATAGAACGATGATTTTCTTTGTATCACAGAATTTCATAAGAATAGGTTGCGGTAATTTTTAAAATTGTTGAGCCGGACTAATTGGCAAAGCGTAATTTTAGGAAGTTTATTGAAACAACAACAATCAAAATTGAACAGAAAAGTCTTCTATCTTTTTTATTTGTAAATAAGTCTACTAGTAACTTGTTTTTATGCATATTTTTTGTCCGTCTATTTCTTTAATTTCCTCAATTTCTAAAGCATCTAGTTTATTATTGCAAATCTTAATTGCATATTTAAGAAATTAAACATTATAGTATTGCAACTTAATACTTTTAAATCTTTATTGAAAGTACAAATACAGTATATAACTCTGTCTTGTAAATAATTTAGAAGTTGAAAAAGGTATAAAAATTGATAATACTTACATTTATATGACAAATGCAAACATTACAATCCTTCTCTCCATGGAAAAATTATGTGATTACATTTGTTAGATATAAGAAATCATCTTGATAATACAACGGTAAAAATTTTTGGTTGATTAATAATTTGAAATCAAATTTATTGATAAAAAGAAGTGACCATCATTATATCAATGAAAATACTATGAATTACTAACCTAATCAATTTATTAATTTTTGGCAAAATTAAAATAAAGCAAAATAAACCTTTATTAACAACTGAATTGAACAAAATACGATATTCAGTTACTGCCTCTATCGGCGCTTTTGTAATATCCGTATATCAATCTGCTGAAAAAAAACCTATACTAAATTTTAAACTGAACTACTACAATTAACTTAGAATTCACTACTCCAACTGCACCTCCAACAACGATCCTTTTATATTGTTTAAATTCTGGTGCAAATCTGTCTTTTCGAACAGAATTGCCTCCCGGTCAATATCGCCTCCCGGCCAATTGTGCCGATCTGGGCACATTTGTCTATACAGCCACCTGTATTCAGCCACCTTCCCACCGTTAAGCTTTCCGTTTGTTATTTAATCACTAAATATCTAAAAATATCTAAAAATAACTCTACAAAAAAGATAAAAAAAAAAATAAAAAATATCCTGTGTCATTAATCTTTCTTTTTATAAATATTTCAGGCTGAAATTTTATTACCAATTTCAGAAACTGGATAAAATTATCATAATTCCGGCCCTGAAAAAAGCTATAATAAGCTTTTTTAACCACTTAATGCAAAATACAAAATCATTTCCTTATGTAATAAATAATATTAAAGAATTATTCATCATCAGTATTTGCACAATTATGTTTATGCTTTATACACAGTGAAATTCGATAAACCGGATATTCGATAAACCGGATTTGGGCCTAAACCGGACTATTTTGCTGGAACCAAATCACGTATATTAAAATAGGCTCGATATACCGGAGTTTACTAGTAAAAGCTCGATATTCGCTATAACGGATCAATTTTCTAACAAGCTATAGTAAAAATGATTCGATAAACCGGATCACGTGACTAGAAACCAATAAAATTTAAGTAACGTGATACGGTAAATCTTAAATTTGGCCGGAATTATAAAAATCTTAATTCCGGCTGAAGTTAAGTATTACTTATATATTCAATTAAAATATTTTATATTCATTTTCATGACCTCTATAACCTAAAACTAGATGAAAAAATCAAATTATAGTGTATATTAGTTTTATTAGCATGAAAATTTTTAAAAATTCAATATAATAGATTTTCAATATATCGAAATTTTTTCGCTAAACCGGATATCCCGAAAACCAGATATTTTTAGTGGAACCGATAGATCCGGTTTATCGAATTTCACTGTGTACATCTGTTCTAGGTATAGTAGAGAATTATGTACCTAGAAAAATCTCTTGGTTTGCTGAGAATGTCTACATGATGTCTGCTGTTAGTATGGAAAATCGTCCAATAATTCATTCATGATCTATTAAAAAAACCAACTATTAAATCTTTATTAATTTATTATGCTATAAACAAATCTTAATTATTAAAAATAAGCATGACCAAAACTTTATGTCTGTCAGTGATTACAGTGTGGATAAAAAAAATTAATAAATTTTGTAAAATAATAATTTTCAACGATTATAAAAAGTAGTTGTAAATCACAAATTAACCACGTTCCTTCTATTCTTCTTTTTCAAATGGATCTTGACTTTTTGACTCTAATAACTTATTTTTTTGTATGAATTTTTAATTGATGTTTTTCAAGATGATTTTGTAAAATAGTTGCACTTGTTAACAATTTATATTTAGTTGGATACCTTTTACAAATGTTAAAACGTTGTGCAACTGTACCGATCTAAAAAAACTTATTAACGAAAACTAATTTTCTTTTGTTTAATAAAAATTCATTTTTTATAACAAGCCGCATTCGTTTTTATCATTTTTTGTTTTTATAATAAAAAATTTTTTAAAAAAGTTACTTTTGTCAGATTTGGAATACTGCGGATTTTGGAAGAATTTTTTCACGTTTATTATTAAAAAAAAAATTTTTTATTTAATTAATGAAATTAATAAAAAAAATAAATAAATAAGTATAAAATAATAAAAAGTTCTAGGAACCAACTTGGTTCAAGTCGGTTCAGTCAGTCCGAGTCGGTAAAATCAGTTCAAAGTTTGTTACAAGTCAGTTCAAGTTGGTTCAAGTTCGTTCCTCTGAACCAAACCGAACTGAGAACTTATGAGCCGAATCCCAAACCGTGCTCTAGTCACATCCCTAGTTCTTGGACGGAATGATGTTTATCACAAGATGAATTTTTCTATCTTAACGTTACTGTTACATTGTGTTAATTATTTTATTTAATATTGGAATCAAATACCATGAATAATAGATTTTTATTTCATTATTACTTTTTTTCTTTGAGACGTGGGCTACATTTTAGATAATTTTTTAATTAGAATACATTTAACAAATTTATGATCAATTTTTTTAAAAAACAACCGACCAAGTTTATATTAATTATTCATTGAATAATCAAGAGATTAAAATGGAATTAATTTTCAAATATCAAGTAAAAGTAAAAGATTCATTTGTTGCAACTTGCAAATAGCGATTTTCTAACGGCCCTATTGTTATTCTCTCATTTTTTATTGAATATATTTGAATACTTTTTTTCGTCATGAAATTTTACTGACGGAACTACGATATTTACTAATTATCGAGATTAAGGCAATATTATGATTCTCACATCAAGGATATAGACGAGACGCTGAATGATCCTATGACCATTGTTTAATTACTAATTTGCGAAAAAAATATTATTTATGACTATTTTTTATAGATATTATACGGTGTTGTATTTATATTTGTTAACGTCACTTCGTGGTTAACCAATATAAATAGTAAATACCAACGTACAATGCTCAAATAATAAACTATCGATATTCGATATTGTACGCAAATAAACTATCGATATTCAATATTGTACGCAAATAAACTATTGATATCAATATTGTAGAAAATATCGGTCAAATAAAATCAGCATGATCATATCCCTATAAAAAATTCTGGAAAAAACTCCGATAAATGATCATTATTCTGAAGAAACTCAGACACGTGATCATTTTTCTGAAAAATTTTTATAGGGTATAGGGCCGTGCGATAATATTCTCCGATATTAATATTAAGATTTGTACCTCTAATAAAAATTAATAAGCGAAACAAAAATTTAATATTAGTCAGAATTGTTGTACTATCATTTAATCTGAACAGTCTAACTATATAAATATAAGATAACATCCTTGTATAAAGTTCGGCGTTTTTGTACAAATATTTACGTATTGCAAATATACGATACGCCACGCGTGTGGAGGAACAGACTTCATACTTGATCTTATTGGTGATTACTATGCACGATATTATATAGTCCTTCGTTACACCTCGGACTAATTAAACAGTTGATTGTCAAATCAAAATATAGAACGATACGCATCTTTTTGTATATGTCGATCCTATCTAAATTAGCGTTTAAAACAAACCTTAACTGTTAACGGAGAAAGCGTCGTTTTCGTATTCTTAAATTTTTTTTTTTTTTTTTTGTATTTTGAGATGAAATTTTTGAAATTTTTCTACAAATAAAATATATATAGTGCAGTATCAATATATATAGTAAAATGTCACTCCAATGCAAAATATGTGGTAACGAATATACAAATAAAGCGTTTAAATGGTGTAAACCATGCCAAATAAACTATTTGAAGAGAAATTTCATAAATTGGACAAGTGGAAATGAAAATATTGATGAGTTCATTAAAGAAATGCAATTTAAAATTAATTCTTACTATGACATAATATTTGAATGGATACCGTACAGCCATTTTAACAATATTAAAGAAATCAGCAGAGATGATTATATCACGATTTATTCAGCGATATGGTATAATAGTCCATTATATTACGATGAACATAAAATTGGATATACGAGGTACCAATTTTGCAGATATAAAAATGTCAATTTAAAATGTTTAGATAATTTGCAAATTACCACTAACGAATTCCTAAATAAGGTATGAAACTTTTTATTCATTTAATTTAATTAAATTTATTGATTTTTATTTTTAATAACAATTTTGGTCTGTTTTAATACTAGGTCAATGCATATTCAATTAAACGTCAAGATAATATTCGTAAAATATATGGAATATCTCAAAATCCAAATACGAAAGATTACATTATGGTTCTTGAAGTTAATAGTATATATTGTGAAAAATGTAATAAAAAATACACAGAAATATCTCATAAATGGTGTAAACCATGTCAATTAAATTATTTTAAAAGTACTAATTTCACAAACTGGACGAGTGGAAATAAAAAAATCGATCAATTTATTCAAAACATGCAATTAAAAATTGATGCCTATGATGATATAGTGTTTGAATGGATACCTTATAATCAATTTAGTAATATTAAAAAAATAAGTAATGATGATGCATTGTATCTGGCAATATGGAAGGATGGTTTGTTATGTTATGATGAAAAAATAAATAATCAAGAAAACCAGAATAAAAATATCGCTTTGAAACACTTATGTAATCCACAATATATAGGCTACTATATGAAACTATCCAAGGTATAAAATTTCTTTATTCATTAAATTTAAAGAACTTTTTAATAATAATTTTTTTGGTTTGTTTCAATACTAGGTTAATGCATATTCAATTAAACGACGAGATGATATTCGTAAAATATATGGAATATCTCAAAATCCGCATACGAAAGATTACGTCATGGTTCTTGAAGATAGTTATTGTCCAAAATGTGATGGAAAATATGCAGATACATCTTATAAATGGTGTAAACCATGCCAATTAAATTATTTAAAAAGTAATTTCACAAACTGGACGAGTGGAAGTAAAATAATTGATCAGCGTATTCAAGAAATGCAATTAAAAATTGATTCTTTTGATGACATAGTATTTGAGTGGATACCGTACAACCAGTTTGATAATATTAAAGAAATATATGAATATGGGTATATCACGATATATTCAGCAATATGGGAGTATGGGACATTATGTTATGATGGTAATGAAACTGAATATACAAGGAAGCAATTTAACAAAGATAAAAACGTCACTTTAAAACTTTTTCGTAATCCACAAACCGATAAATTCTTAGATAAGGTATAAAATTTCTCTATTCATTAAATTTAAAGATCATTTTAATAACAATTCAGTTTACTTTAATAGGTTAATGCGTATTCAATTAAACGACGAGATGATATTCTTAAAATATATGGAATATCTCAAAATCCGCATACGAAAGACTACATTGTGGTTCTCGAAATCAACAGTAAATATTGTGAAAAATGTGATAAAAAATATACAGATATGTCTCATAAATGGGTTAAATCATGTCAAATAAATTATTTAAAGAGAAATTTTACAAACTGGACGAGTGGGAATGAAAGTATCAATAAATTTATTCAAATGATACAATTAAAAACCGATTATTGTAACGGTATAGTATTTGAATGGGTACCATATGATCAATTTAATGACATCACAGAAATGGTTGATAATCACGCTAAAGTATATTCCGCAGTATGGAAGGATGGTCCATTATATTATTATGATAATATAAAAGAATGGACAAAAAAAAGAAATACAAGCACAAAAGTTATTTTAAAATATCTACACAATTCACAAGAAATAAATAATGAATTTTCAAATGAGGTATGAGTCAGAAAAATTTCTATAACTGAAATTTAAGCCAGCACTTTTAATTTATTGACTTAATTTTTGTTTAATAGTACAATACTTTATATGGAATATCTCAAGATCCAAATACAAAAGACTATATTGTAATTCAAGCTGAAAATTGTAAAAAATGTGATGAAAAATATATAGATGTAATACATAGTTGGTATAATCCATGTAAAATTCACCATCTAAAAAAAAATTTTACAAACTGGACAAGTAAAAATGAAACAATTGATGATTTTATTAAAAAGACACAATTGAGTAATGGTTATTTTAACGATACATTTGAATGGATACCATATACTCAGTTTAATGATATTAAAGAAATAGGCAAAGGAGGCTTTGCTACAGTTTATTCAGCAATATGGAAGGATGGTCCATTATATTATGATGATAATATAAAGAAGTGGATAAGAAAACCTGGAGCAAATAAAAAAGTTGCCTTGAAATGTATGCGTAACTCACAAAATATCACTGAACAATTTTTACGTGAGGTAAGAATTTATTCTAGTAACAAATTAAATAAATAAACATATATACAGTATATGTATATATATATATAAACTATATATTTTTTTAACAAACAATTTAAATTTTTGTAGGCTAAAGTACATTCAAAGAAAACTTCTATTTATATTCTAAGTATATATGGAATATCTCAAAATCCAGATTCAAAAGATTATATTATGGTTCTTGAATATGTAGAAGGTGGAGATTTAAGTAAGTGGATAAATAAAAATTATGATAAATTTAATTGGTCATATAAATTACTTTCATTATGGAATATTGTTAGAGGTCTTAAAGAAATTCATCAAAAAAATATGGTTCACCGTGATTTTCATACTGGAAATATATTAATTAAGAATGAATATTGGCCCTGTATTGCAGATATGGGATTATGTGGGAAAGTTGATGATAATTATGATATAGATGAAAAAGATGAAAAAAAAGTTTTTGGAGTTTTGCCTTATGTAGCTCCTGAAGTAGTATTAAAAGTAGGGAAATATACTCAAGCATCAGATATATATAGTCTTGGTATGTTAATGTATTTTATAGCCACTGGGAAACAACCTTTTTACAATCGTGCACACGATCAATATTTAGCAATAAGCATATGCGGAGGAGTTAGACCTGAAATAAGTGAGCCAGAAGCACCAAAATGTTATATTGATTTAATGAAGAGATGTTGGGATGCAAATCCAGATCATAGACCAAATATAGATGAAATATTTGAAACAATGAAGTTACTTAATGATTCCAAACAACCGCAAGAAATTAGAAATCAATTGGAAGAAGCAGAAGAATATAGAAAAGCAAACCCTTTATCAATTGAAGTTATTCAATCAAATACTCATCCACAAGCTATTTATACGTCTCGATTACTTAACTCCATTACAAAAGACTTTCCAATGTATGATAATATTAATAATATTACGGCAGAATATATTGACTTTACAGCAGAGTAAGTTATGCTAAATTTTAATTACAATTTTATCTTTATTAATTGAAATCATTGTTGATCTACGGACTAAAATTACGAATGATTGAAAAATTTTATATTGAAAAAATCGTTTATTATAAACTAAAGTTATAATGTAACTTTATAGTTTATTCAAATATATATTTTTTTACCTATTTTTATTTTAAAATTATTGTTCAACACTGATGATAGAGTATTTGTAAACATGTTTTCTATAAATAAATCAGTTTGTAATTGAATAAATTTTATTAATTTCTGCTTGTCTATATCATGTTTCAATTTTATATAATGTTATTATCCAAAATTTAGAATAATTTAAGTTATTGTTATTGACTTGGGTTACAGTACAATTTACAGACAGCCATTCTACAAAAATGAAATTAACCAACGCCATTTTATTTGCTGGCTTCCATTTTACCGACATGAAAATCTATTGCCCGAAGCGTTAGCGAATGGTTTAACCCCGTTTTTGTCCCTGTCACAATCGACAATTTATTTCCTTTTTTGAATATGTATCACAATTTTATGTAAGACTAGTTATTTGACCCCTGAAATATGCCAAATGACACGTAGATCACGTAACAATCGTAACATGCACTTGCGAGTTATGCAACGCGAAGGACTTAAACGGTTTCCGTTTTCCTAGTATACCCTATTTCACCGAAATGTCATTATCCGACTTACCATTTACAGCAAAATCCAAAATAAACGAGACAATTGAAAATTTTGTTGCCGAGAATCTCGGCTTTCACGTGATTATTCTGTAAAATGATTGGATCCGAAAATTTATTAATTGCGCCTCATTCCTTACTGCGCCTTAATTTCTACGCCTCATCGGTCGGTCATAACCGAATCAAGAATCTTTGACCGACCGATCGTTTTGACCAACCATTTGACCGACCGTTTGACCGAGACCAGATTAACCAAAAAGAATTAAAAACTCATTTTTTTTTTAGAAACCTGGCCATTTTTTACTCCTTGCCAAGAATTATTTGATAATGTTCGGTTTAGCTCAGGATAAAACAAAAAATAATATTATTATACTCGAAACAATACACCGAAATGACCGAATCTAATGAGTAATGATATATTTTTTTCCTATTGTGAGCTTTACCGAGTTTTACCGAATATACCGAGTGTTTCGGCAAAGAGTTAAAAATGACTAGATGTCCAGTACATTATGAAAACAACTGTAATGATCAGATATTATTGTAACTTACAATTTTAAACGTTCGGCCAAAATCGTCAAATGATCGGTCAGAAGGTCACAGTCATGACCTGACCATATGTCTTTGTTATACATGAATTAATAGATTTTTATTTAGGATAATAATAAAACGATCCAGCAAACAATCAATATTCAGGATAATAAAACGATCCAGCAAACAATCAATGTTTTGGATAATAAAAAATATCCAACAAAACAATCAATGTTTTGAAAAGGTAGTTTAATTATGCCTATTTATAAACTATAATTAACAAAATTTGATCGACAAATGATCGACGTGTCAGAAATTCCGATTCAGAAACGGGAAAAATTAGCTACGGTTCATTATTACTATTAAAACAAATTTCAAACCGCTTACGTTTAGGAATTAATTACGTATCAAAAAAAAACAATAAAATAAATATGGTTATATTCATATCCAGATAAAAAAGAAACATCCGTATGTTTTTCCTTTTAGTTTTAAATTTTAAATTATACTACCAACCTTTTGTTGATCAAATATAGAATATGATCGACATTGGAAATGCACGTGAGGTAAGAATTTTTTTTACTTTAGTTACTTTTTAAGAAAAAAGATTTTTTCTTTTGGTATAGTAAAATTTTTTTTTTATCCAAGATCGATGAATAATTGCGCCAAGTTTGAGGTTATTTATTCCATTGATTTCTAGAATTCTTTTTTGTTTTACTTCTCATGAGTAATCGAAATTGTCTGTTTAATTTAAATAATGTAATAATCCTAAAAGTATTTCAAAATCATTTATTATGTATAAAAATAGATACAAAAAATCCGAAAAATTTCTTATTAACATGACTAACATTTTAATTGCATATAATATGGATGCATTAACATATTATAATAAAGGCGTTTGAAGTAATAAAATTTAATTACGTATTAACGCAGTATTTCTTAAAAATAGTTTTATTTATGTTCCTTGTTAAGAATTATTGTTTTATATATCGAATACTTTGAATACTTTCAAAATATTTATTTTGCGCCTTTAAATCCGAATTTCCAAAAATTTCCATGTGCCTCGCACATGCATGCATGTTCATGTCACATATGGATATTGTGGAACATGAATTCTATGTTTCAGACAATCACATAATACATTATTATAAATTCAAAGAAAGCTAACAATACAACAATATCAAAAAACAATCTAGTTACGCGCGCATTATACGCAGTTTACCCTATAAATACACCTTTGTTTCCACCTTTCTTTCTCATCAAATACTTGCAAAGAAGTTAGAGAACAAAAAAAAAAAAATTATTAAATATTCTTTTTTCTTTTGATCTGCGATCAAAAAATAAAAAAAAAAAACAACGCAACACAACACAAATTTAACACTTTCCAATAAACATAAAAAAAATGAATCAAACCGTCATCAATATCGTTGCTAATCCAACCGTCGTTGTTACTTCTGAAGTTACAGAAAATCCAGCACAACCGACTAATTCATGCTCAATAATGTGAAAATACATTTATTTTGAGTTCTCTAACTTTATTTTTTCAAAATAAAGTCAAATTCATCTTTGGTTTTTTTATTTCAGGATTTTATTTCACTCTTTTTTTAAATACTTCTAAAAATGAACATTCGTTTATTAATTTTCTTTCTTTTTTTTTTTAAAAAAAAAAAAAAAAATAGTTACAAATAATAATATTTTAAAAAAATATATTTAATTTTAATTCGTTTTTGAATCCTTTATTAATTTGGTTTTTATTTATCTACGAGCTTTTTTTTTTCAAAATAAAAAATAAAATAATCTAAATGTTGTTTTAATACTTATTTACGTTTAAAAATTATTCACAAAATAAAGATTTAAATTTTTTATTTCGAATTTTTTTACCAGTGTACATTTATTTCTAATGTGAAAATATAATAAATAAATAATAATTATTAATCCACGTATGGTCTTCAGTTAACTCCATTTAATAAAATTAATAGTGTTTAAATTTTGATTGGCCAAAAATTTAAAAAAAATGCAATGAGACGAACCCTTTATAAAGAGAAAAACTGTCAGAATATCAAATATGTATTATATAATCATAAATATTAAAATGATCAACCCAAAAAAAAAAAAAAAAAATTTCATACATTTATTTAGTAAATAAAATGAAAAATAAAGCTTAGGGGGTTCTTTAAAAGTTTAAAGGGCGCATTTGAGCTAAGCGCTCTAATTTCTTGTACCACGTATTACCGTTCACAACTTTCAAACAAACAAAATCTTCAAGTATTAATATAGTAAAGATGGAAATTATGCACTATACGACTATACGTTAAGCTCAAAATGATCTACGTGTATTAGTAATTTCAAAAAAAAAGAAAAAAAAATGAATTGTTATTACAATAACGGTTGGTTTAATATTGTATAATTCGGAAATACATATTAAATGATTCGGCAAAATTCGCAGATTCAACAAATATATTGTTTTTTATTTAATAATAATTTTAAAAAATAAATATTCATTTGACAAATTATTATTCTTCTAATATTATTTTCGTTAACAAGGCTACCCCATTGGTAGTTATACAGAAGCCAAATTATTATTTATTAGTGTAACCTTTCAATTCTTACGGATAACTGGGATTCACCAAATGTTTTCTCTCACCTAAATCGATTTCGTACTTGTAAGTTCGTCGTAAAGGTGGCTTTATTAATGCAACTTTATTCATCATCTTTATTTCTGTTAATGATGCCATTTGAAGACCTGTCTTTTGTGATACCCGAGGTTCGTATGATTCTGCGGCCAATGAAATTGGAACGTTCCAGTCGTTCCATACATACTATGAAAAGTTATCAAATATGTAAAGAGAGTTTGATATAATTACTCTGAGAAAAAAATTTTTCAATAACTTTGATAAACATATAAAGATAATTAAAACTTCGTTATGCGGAAATGGGCCCGATTATTTTGCTTAAAATTTCTAACTACGAACCGTAGGACATCGAATTGTCAATACGCACTGTGTAATACGTAAAAACCATTTGACGTGATTTATGAAAAATTTAATTATACAGTAATTATAAAATTTTTGCCTTTACACAAAATCGAAAGACGGCAAAACCGATCATAACTATTCTCGAAAAATTTTGTACAACTAAAGAATGGTTCTTTGTGTATGAAGCAGATCTTCAAAAACGTAGCACAATTTTCCGAAAAAGATAAAGTTTTTGCATTTTTTAATTAGTACAATTTACCGAATCAAGCTAAACACTATTTAAATGTTTATAACGAAGGGACTTAAATTGTTTGAGAAAAAAAAAAAATTATTCTTTCCTTCTTAACTTTTAAATAACAAGATATACATCCCAAAGCGAGATATTAACAAACAATAAAGAAATGGATAAATGTGAAAAATGTGGTGAATCATATAAAGGTTTTTTTAATATAAAATATAAATGGTGTAAACCCTGTCAAATAAATCGATTAAAAAATTATACTAAAATCAGCGGAGATAAAAAAATTGATGAATTTATTCAAGAAATAAATTCAAAAATCAATTGTTATAATGATCTATTATTTGAATGGATACCATATAATCAATTTAATGATGTTGAATTAATAGGTAAAGGTGGTTTTTCTACAGTATGTTCAGCGATATGGAAGGATGGTCCATTAAATTATGATGTGAATAAAATGGAATGGACGACAAGAAAAGAAAGAGCTAATAAAAAAGTCGCTTTAAAATGTTTAATTGACTCACAAAATATTACAAGTGAATTTCTAAGCGAGGTATGAAATTTCAAATATTAGTATTTTTATTTTTTTAAAAAAAGTCTAATAATATAAATTCTATTACGGTATTACCAGATTAAAATACATACAATAATGAATTCTCATCATATTCTTAAAGCATATGGAATATCACAAAATCCAGTAACAAAAGAATATATTATGGTTTTCGAATTTGTGGAAGGCGGAAGTCTTAATGATTGGATAAATAAAAATTTTATTAACTTAAGTTGGAAAAATAAATTAAAATCATTATTTAATATTTTTAATGCTCTTGATGAACTTCATCAAAAAGGATTTGTTCATCATGATTTTCATACGGGAAATATTTTAATTAAAAATGGTAATTTTCCACATATTTCAGATATGGGATTGTGTAGAGAAGCAAGTAATAACGATGAAACAAAAATTTTTGGAGTTATGCCTTATTTAGACCCTAACGTGCTAAAAGGAAACCCTTATACCCAAGCGTCAGATATATATAGTGCTGGTATGATTATGTATTTTATAGCAACTGGAAGACAACCTTTTGCCAATTGTCCACACGACGAATTTTTAGCGATAAACATATGTAAAGGTGATAGACCCGTAATAAATAAGACGGAAGCACCAAAGTGTTACGTTGAATTAATGGAAAAATGTTGGGATTCAAGTCCAGACAAAAGACCGAAAATAGCTGAATTAAAAAAAGAAATTTTGATATTTTATGCTTCATACACAAAGAATGAATCAGGATTTAAAACTCTAATGAAAATTGAAAAGAAACAAGAGCATTATGAAATTGAAAACCAATTCAAGGAAGCGGAAGAACATCGAAAGTCATTATCTAGTGAATCAAATCCTCATTTACAAGCTATTTATACATCTCGATTACTTAATTCTTTTACAAAGAACATTTCAAAATACGATAATGTTAATAATAATTCCGTAGAAATTATTGACTTTACAACGTAAGTATTAACTAGAATTTCACGTTTGTCATATTCAAGGATAATGCATTGATTACAGTATTAATTATAACCATGTTTACCTGTAGCTTGTAAAATTAATCTCATTCTAGGAAGAAAGGGTAAAAGAATTTCAAAATATTTTAAATAGATTTTTTTGGGTATAAATATAATTTTGTTTAATTCATTATGAATTTATATTTAGTTTTTACTATTTCGTATTTATTTATTTTACGTTTTGACTAGACCAGTATTAGAGATTAATTCCTTAATTTAGGCCAACAATTCGTGATTAATTCCGGCCAAAATTAACGAAAATTTTAGTCATGTTTATTTGTGAATTCTCTGTTTTATTAAAATTGTCGAATATTTAAAAATATTTTCATTAAAATTTTATCAGGTCAAAACACGTTTTCATTGAAGATGTTTAAATATTCGGTTAAAATCATGCCAAATTAGTCCGAGTTTTCATACACGCCAAATTCTATAATATTTAATATATTATAAACGGGAATTGAAATCCCTCATAGATCACATCTAAATTTAAATGCATCAAACTTTCTGTATAAATTTTGTAAATTTTCAAAATATTTTTTTTTTTATGTAGACATGTGTATCTTATTTTTGATGGCGTAACGTGACGAAATCTTAAAAACTAAGGTTCGTACTAGAATACAATATTGTATACAAATTTATAATCTGTTAAGTTTACGAACTTAGATTCTTATATTATTTCATTTATTTTACAATTCGAACAATTAAATTAATCTCTTTTATGTATTGATAGTTATAACACCGATATTATGTTCGATTCATTAATGAATTATGATTCAATTCATTAAATCTATACACATGAATTTGGATCTATTGTATTTTTTTTACATTATTAATTTACTGCACGGTTACAGTAGTGTTACAATACATTTCGCCGCCGAAGTCTATTTCACCGAAACCTATTTCACCGAAGCCATTTCGCTATAGGGAAGTTTCGACAAAAGGACATTTTGCCGAATGGACATTTCGTCGAATGGATATTTTGCTGAGCCTTTTCCCGAATTGTCCATTTTATCGAAGGACATTTTGCTGAAAATGTTATTAATTGGTTTATTTCCTTAATCATTACTGTAACAATTCGATACAAAAAAAAAAATAAAAATTATTCAAAGAACAAATTCTCATTTTCACTTGTTTTGGAAAATGGTACTTGATTTTGTGTAAACGACGATCATACTTTTATATTTGAATCATGTAAGAAAAGAAACATTGTGAGGATTATCCTATTAATTTTTAAAAATAGATTTGTAAAAAGAGCGGGCAACTCATTTATTAAGTTTCATACGCAGTCGTACTGTACTGTCTGTACATACAAAGATTATTATTGATCAGCATAATTCGGGCCAATTTATAATTCTGGTCAAAATTCAAAAAAAAAATTTTTATGGAACGTGTATTAATTCTGGCCAGAATTATAAATTGGCCAGAATTATGCCGATCAATTATAATGACTGGCTGATTTTTGAATTTTTAAACTGATCTGACTGCGTATGTATAAACAATTCGGTTGCATTCTCCATATCATCGGAGAAATGTCCATTCGGGAAATGTCATTTTAGTAAAATGGCACTAAATTGCTTCGGCGAAGTGGGATTCGAAAGTTCGGACACCACCTTATTGCTCTTATATTAAAACTTTGAAGGAAATAAAAATAACGAAGTATTATAAAAGAAAGTAAATAATCAGATTATAATTCCTGATAATAATACTTGATGATTAATTGTTGTCCGTTCTCGCCTTCTTTATATAATGTTATGACTTTTTATGATGAAAATAAATGCTAATGATTTTTCTTTGCGAGCCAAGCACTAATGAAGGACGTCTTTAAGATAAATACATAAATAATTAGTGCTCCGTACGGGTCGGGTTAGGTCGGGTTTGAGGGATGTTCGAATTCGACTCGAATATTCACGTAATTCGATTCGAATGTTCGGATCAATCAACTGTATAACCTGAACTTGACTCGACCCAATTATAGCTTAACCCGGATAACCCGGGTCAAACTCGAATTTATATTAAATTTATGATCAGCAAAATTGATCAAGTTACATGATTTATTTTTTCAACCACTTCACTAAATTTTACAACTTTAATTATAATAATGTTGTTTATTTAATTAATTAATATAAAATTCACTTCAAATTTCTTAAAACTGAATATTTTTGTCGCCACAAGATCAGCTCCACTGGAAAAAGTTCACTCTACTGGAAACACTCGTAGCTTGAATAACTGAAATCATATTATTAATTTTATTAATTAATATTAGTAAGTGTATATTATCAACTAAAAATTATATTTCAAAACTTTTCTATACTTACGGACAATTAAGACATCTGACTTCATGATGCGTATTTGCATCTTTACGTTATGGCAGGAGTTCTTTTTTCCTCAAGAAGATTTGTTTCCGAGTTGAGTTGTTGGCTCAGCAATAATATCAATAACCCCAGACATTATATTTTATTTATTAGTAAAGTTTTTCCAACTATAAAAATAACAATAGTGATGAAAAAAACGTGTCATTCGGGTCACCCGGGTTGATCTGGGTCAAAGCAACAGTATGACCCTAACCTGACGGGTTGGTTTATACGGGTTATAAGTCATTAAAATGATCAATCCCGATTCGATTTAAAAATTCAGGTCGGGTCGAACACCCGGGTCTGACCCGACCCGTACGGAGCACTATTAACATAATATTAAATTAATAATAACTTCATTCTTCATTCTTCATTTATTTTATGGTCAAGCAATTAACGGATATATTAGCAGTTAGGAGTATAAATAATAATAATTTATCTTCTGGTAATAAATATAATTTCAATTCATTTATTTATTTAACTTATTTTCAAGTATTTTTTGTTATAAGAAAAGTTATAAAAAATTTTTTAAAAAAAAAATCAAAAAAAAAAATATTATTTATTATTTATTTCAGAAGTATATAAATATTTTTTGGCCTAATTTCTAAGCTGAAAATTACATTTTTTTATGATTATAATGATTCTATTTCAAAGCAATATTGTATCATAAATTTTCAAAAGTAATTGAAAAGAACCAAACCTTAGTACTTTATTTTCTTGGATTATAGTAACATTTTTCAAAAAAAAAAAAAAAATGATTTTTTATAAACCATTTTTGAAATCTGTTAAATCACTCTGTAACGCTTGTACGATTATCATCGGATATGAAACAATTTTTATAAATATATTGTGATAATTTCCTTTTATTATACAAATAACATTATCTTGTTTATGCTAAAAATTAAAAGTATATAAAAAATTTGCGGAAATAATACTATTAATATTCGTTCATTAAAAAAATTCATTTGAAAAAATTCACTTTGTATGAAAAACATCTCTAATCTAAATCAAGTCACTAATTTAAAAGTCTCAAATTTTTGCTTAATGTCACATATAATAAATATAGTATATTGTATGCAACCATAAAAATTCACAAAATGATACAGAAAAATGTGTAACGAATGCAAGTTGTTGATCGAGAAGCCATTCGACTTGCTTTCATTAACCGGTTATATGATTATATAGGCAACCTAAAAGCTATAATAAAGTACGGATAGGAATATTTTTATGTTTCGAATAGTACAATGTCAGCAGTAACACGGTAGTAATACAGTAGTACGGTACTTAGGTTGTTCAATGTCGATCAATTAAATCTTTGTTTTCGCAGAAGTGGATGGACAATTGAACGATTGTTTTCGAAACAAATTATAGTTCGTTAATTTTATTTCGTTAATTTTATGAGTAGAAGAAAAACTATAATTTTGAAGAGCGTAAACATTTATATTTAAAATCGTATTTATTTAAGGATTCGAAGTCTTCTCTGCAAAATAAATAAAAAAATGGCGCAGTAGTGTTCATTTATCATACAGTATATACTTACAGTACTTTTTTTCGTACTTATATGATAATCTAATATGTATTATTCAAGTTGGTACTAGTTTTCCGTACTTGCGGCTATATTTAGCAGTAAAATTATTTCAATTACAAATATAGATATGTAACATAAACATACATATTAAAATACTCTTGTGTAAGACAATCATTTATGTTGTGTCTACTCATTTTATTTTCATTATTTCTTTTGTAAAAAAATAAATTCTTTCTAACACAAAGCAAGTACAGTAATTATGGACCAATTATCGCCACAATTTATTAAGACGGAAGCAGTTGATCCGATTGATTCATTTATTAGTTTTCATGTCAAGAGTAAAGTTAAGTGACACGAATCTACAAAATTAAGGGTAAATTTAATCCTTTTTTAACTATTTGCAATTTTACTAGGATGACAATAAGACGTTCTGAGAACAACACCTTTTAAAAAACTCAAGGAAGTCTATTGTAAAAGAAATAGATTAAAGATTCATGCAACAAAATTTCTATTTGATGGACTCAATGTTATGGATAATGACACTCCTGATTCTGTAAGTTTATTTAAAAATACTTTTAATACATATTTCATATGTTTATAAAGATATTTTTCGTTTCTATATATTAATATAGCTTGAGATGGAAGAAGGTGATTCAATTCATGTTATATTTGCACCTGCTATCCGGTAAACTACTATATTTCTAGTGTATTTAATGCGTAGAAATTAAAAAGTTTTAGAGTTACTTTTCATGAATGTTTAACATAAATATTGTATGTGCCCTACACTTGGCGTACGATATAATCCAATTTTTGTTGCATTTATTCGTATATTCTATATTATTTTTTCATTTTAATATAGGAACGTAATTACGAATTCTGATCAATTATTGTCCCAATTTATCAAGACAGAAGAACCGACTGGTTCAGCTAATTCATTTTTTAGTATTATGATCTACTATGATTATGATTATGTTAAGTTCATTTGTCCTAAAAATCAGGTTATTTGTTATTTTTTTGCTAATACCATTTGCAATGTTAATAGAAAAATGATTCTATTAAACGTAAAGAGACGACTTACATAGTTGAAAGGGCAAAACCTCTTAAAAAACTTATGGAATCCCATTCTGAAATAAATGGACTTAGCCCTGCCACACTAAGATTTCTATTTGATGGATGCAGGATTCATTATGATGACACTCCTGATTTTGTAAGTCTAAAATACTTATATTTATTATACAGTATTTGTTTGCAAATATATTTTTTTTTACAGCTCGAAATGGAAGACGACGATATTATCGATTATGTGCCCGAGAGAATAGGTTTTTTTTTAAAATGCAATAATATTAATATCAAATAAATGACAAAATTTATAATAATGGTTTTTATTTTCTACATATCCCGTAAAAATGCAGTGTGTTAATAAGTGTTCCGCTTCCACGTTCAAACCACAGCCAAACATAAGGAGATGTATTTTGCAAACCATGCGAAGAATCAGAATTTTTTTCTTCCTAAGTGATAATAATATTAATGAATCTATAATTTTTTTTATTTAAGTTTGGTTATCAAAATAATAACAGTTTCTTACTTTGCGTATAATTATATAATAACCAAATAAAACTGTCGAGTAATATATAAATTATGATATTATATTCCAAATTGTGATACTATTCTTTTGGAACAATGTTAATGAGGTCCTATAAAATGTAAATGAGATCGATTATTACTAAAATGAATTTTTCTTATAAAATTCATAACAATTTTAAATTTATTTAACATTATAGCATTTCTTCTTATTTTAACTTATTTAAAATATTTATAATTATTATTTGTAAGATATTAGTTTATCTCTAACAAAATTTTTTTTAAAACTTCATAACTTAAGGTATTAATAGAATATAGTATAAAAATTAGCTTATTGACTCTTCTATGAACTTTGTAAATGGAACAGCATTTATACTAAGAAATTACATGTGCAAGATGAACTTTCGATAAAATGTGATTTTATTTATGATAACACTGCTGATATAAGTTTTATAACCTTCCAATTAAATATATATATCATTTTGTTTATTTGTAGTAAAGATTGTGGTCAGTTTCTCCTCAACCTAAATAAAAATGTGGGGAGCAGAAAATTTTAATTATCAAGAAAAGACCTATATCTAATCCACTACTAATTCTGACCCTTGTCTATTCTAAAAATTCGGAAAATTAAGGGCGAAATCATGTGATATTGAAAAATGAACATCTAGTTTTTTTTAAATGCTCAAGTCGCTCAACACTGATTTTTATAATTTTTTTTTTTTTAAATGTAATATATTTTTTTTAAAAAAATCACATTTCTAATCTTATCTCGATCAATGAAGTGTGACCTTCCGGCAAATTTTTGCCAATTATTCACTGTAAATATTTGTAGTAAAAGCGATGATTGTAGAGATAGTACTGATAAAAAGATAAAATTTGGGAATAAACCCCAGTTACGTTGATGTTATTGATTGCACAGAATACAATACTAAGTGTGTAACATGTGCCAGTTTGTGATCATATTGTTCGTGTTGTTTGATGCATATAAATGAAATTTTGTAGTATATAATAAATAAAAAAATAAGAATAGATGTGTTTGTTTATTTTTACTTCGAGGGTACAATGTTACGTTGGCGTTTATGTTGATCATTTCTATGAAATTTTCCTATTTCGTTCTTGTGTTGCCGTTATAGATACCAAACCACATACAGTAATTTCTTGTATACTGTTACCATCATTGAGTGAAAATTCGATGAATTGTTAGCACTCAATAACATATTGGCTCAAAAGTTTCTTGTTCTTTTCATTTCATACAGTCAATTGATTCATTATTATTCTATTTCCGGTTTATTTTGGCGTAACAAATTGGAATTCGTTAATTTTATAAAATATAAAAAGTCTTTCTTTCAGTCATTCCGTGAGTTCAAATAAAGTTTTCTAAAAAACTTAATAATGTCACAGTGCAATTTACCGAATACAGTATATGAGAAGATACATCGCCACAATACATAATTTTTACTGCGTTTGCGACCATAAACTATTGTTCTAATTCTGTATATTGTAAAAGTAAACAAAAATCCGAAAAAAATTTATGGAATTATCATTCATGGGATCTGTAACATAAACGTGCATAATTATAGAGACACAACATGAATAAATCTTTTAATAGTTTATCCAGTGTAGGTACAGTATATTCATTGTAATTTTATTCATTCATTGTATCATTACCATTATTGCTTTCATAAAAATATTTTTTTCTTTCTAATAAACGAACGAAAAATGGCTTCTAACGATCAGTTATTGTTACAATTTATCAAGACAGAAGCAGTTGATTCAAATGAATCAATTGATTCGTTCGTTAATCTTAAAGTTCAAGATTATGTTAAGTATATAAGTATATATATATTAATTAAAGTGAATTTAGTTCTTTTATTAACATTATTTGTAAATTTCAATAGTCTAAGAGTGAGACAGTTTACAAAGTCAAAAAGACGAAACCTCTTAATAAACTTAAGCAAGTCCATTGTGATAGAAATGGCTTGGATATTAAATTTATGTTATTTTTGTTTGATGGACACCAAATTAAGGATTATGATACTCCAGATTCTGTAAGTCTAAAATAATATCAAAATACTTTAAAATACTTTAAAAGAATTTTATATTTATTACACATGTATCTTTTTTTTAACATTAAAATAGCTTGAGATGGAAAACGATGATATTATCGATATTGTGTGCCATCAAAAAGGTTTTTTCTTTGGCGTAACTCGTTGTATTAATGCTTTTACACTAAACCAATATTAAAATATTTATCTTTTTTTTTTATTTTATATTTAGGTGGTGGTTTCTAAAATAAATAGACATAAATCGATTTTTTTTACGATATTTATATTTAAGCTCTCATAAGTTTACGTTTTCTGTTATTAAGAAATTGAAATGAGCATATTAACCGACAGCCTATTGTCACAACTTTTATTTCGCGAACGATATATTTACGAATGCTCATTATATTCAATAATTTTTTAATATAATATATGATATAGTAAACATGATTCCATATATACTGTATTTGTATAATAACTTCCATTTACATTTCATATGTCTTGTAAAAATAAATATTAATAGCAACTCTGTGACAAAATTTATCTAAGATCTTTTACGCAATTATAAATTTGAATATTTATATAAACGAACGCAGAATGATTTATTGGATGAATAACAAATCGGATCATCTGTTATATATTATTCTGTTCATTACCCAAATGTTTCTAGCTTGCTTAACACAAGAAATTAATTTAAATAATCAAATTACTGACAGTTGAAAACATTCAAAAAACGCAATTCACGGAAGCCATAATAGAAGAATATTCTCTCCTGGTAAATATTGCAAAATTAATTATCGTGTATCTTCAGCAAAAAGGAGTTGAACATAATGAGAAAAACACTCGGTTGATGTTTTAGTCGACACAAGAATATGTCTGGTAAATATGAAAAATATTTTATTATTTAAATATAATTAAACATATTTCTATTTAATTGGACAAGAAGATTAGCTGCTGGCGTGAAAGTGACATTAGTTTAGTAAATATGATTGTTCCTTTTGAATTAAAAAAATACTCTCATAAATGGTTACGTCACGCAAATTAGGTCAAACAAAAGGAAATGTAAAATGTAATAATTTACCTTATTTTATTTTATTTATTTTATTTTATTTTTACCAAGTTAGTATCTTCCATCAGATTTCTTTATTGCATAGTACATTATAGAGGCATGCGTTTAACTATATTTTGAAACCCCGACCAGGATCGGAATTCTTATAGTTTTTTTTCACGTTTTTATCGTCTAAAGTTTTATACTAGTTATTTTGACATTATAATATTTTATAATTTAATATTTAATTTGATTTAACAAAATGTTTTAGAAACTAAAAATCTTGCAGCATAGTGATTATTCGGTAAATATAAATTTTTACAATCGCTATTTAAGAATACTAACATCTATAAAGTAAATATTATAAACTTTAAAAATATATAAGTACTAGAAATCATAAGTATTTTATAATATTGATTGTAATTTAAATCAAATATAGCGCAGCTGTTAATACGAAAATAATTTATTTAAAGATAAATAAAATTTTACGTAAAAATATATATAGTGAATACAAAGCAAAAAATTATTGAAATGCAGAAATGCACTAAAAAAAATCTAATAGTAAATTAAAAGAATTCTAAAACATATTATTGTTGCGTATTATAAATTTGTAACGCAGCTGAAAATCCGATTTATACCCGGCACATTGCAGGTCTCTAACACATTAATAACTACAGGCTGCATCTTTTGGAATCTATTTACCATTTAATTCGAACCAATTATTTTAATGTAGAAACAAATAAAATTGACCTTATATAAAAAAGCGTCAGTTGATGATAAATATAATGTACAGTAATTAAAATATTATAAAGATTTAGGAAGGCGAAATGGAAAGGCTTAAAAAGGCATTTTTAGCATTCATATTATGTACTAATAAACGCAATTGATTTTGTTATATTTAAATATAAAACAGAAAAGGGATCATCTTTGTTAATTTTTATTTAAATACAATATTTCGATTTAAAGTAAAACATGTCACGAATTATTTAATCATAGGTCATTGAGTCACTTTTAAATTTGATAAAACATCTTATAAATGAAAGAAAATTTAAAAACTGTACTTAACCACAATTACAGTGGGTATAGCATTACCACAGCCTTCGCCGCCATACCTCATGGCACAGTTACAACTATCTCCATATGTTTTGCCGGTATTTCCGCAGCAATAGCAACCTAATAGCAAATGAATTTATTAGTCTGTGTCGGCGAATTATATAATATCAGGGAAAGTTAGAATTCATATCAAAATCTTAAGTGACTCAATGACCAATTTTACTTACACATTACTTGTATTTAATAATTTGCAAAGGAAGGAAACACCGCCGCTTTAAATATTTTTTTTTAGACGATGAACAATAGAAAGTTAAACTTACATAATTGTTTCAGGCATGCTTGGCGTTATTTATGAAAGTATTGAATTTCCTGCATAGATGACGTGCTTTTGCACTCATCTATGAAGGGCGTTAAATTTCTTGCATAAATGACGTAATTACACAGCCACATTACTTTAACGATCAAAATTTTTAACAGATAAAGAAAATTCGTTGTCTTGGCAAACCTTTACCATTTTTCTAAGCTACATGAATTCTTTGTCTCATTTATTGCACGGGTGGAGCGAAAGACAATAATGTCAACAAACTATGACAGTCATTCACGTGATAGTTATTAATAAAATTGCAAATATAGTTTTGCCTTTTCCTTCCTTCGGACTCACAATCCAATTAAAGATAGGATTACTAGGATTAGCTTAGAAATAATTTATTATTGTAATCTTGATATTCATTGTAAAATACTGTAATGAAGGTCGATTAGATTAATTTGCACCCTTTTTTATCTTTTTTATCGACGTTTTTAAAATGATGTAAGACGGGAACAAAAAAAAAAAATTATAACCTACTAAATACTTTACACATTTTTTCTTGTGTTTTTAAATTTTTTTTTTTTTTTGTATTGATCGGACACTTTGAAAATTTTTGCGCAAAAAATCTTTCTTATTTATTCATAGTATAGTACTGAGATAATTTCTATTAACCACTTAATCAGAAATACTATTATCTTGATTTTTTCATCAAAAAATTAGAAAGAATTCATTTTATAATGAAAAAATTTTTTTTTTAATCGTAATTTCGTAAAAAGGTAAAATTTTCGGTTTAGAGTTTAAGCCATGCCGACCATTTCCAAATATAGCTACTATTGTTAAATGCCGGCCGAAATTTTGCCGAAATTATTGCCAGAATTACCGAGATTTGGCCAGTATTATGAACAGTTGATTCAAATAGTAAATGGGATAACCCGACCAGAATAGCAATTAATATCATTACAGAAGCTAACAAGATTAATATTCTTTTATAATTCTGATAGTGAAGTTTCAGAAAAATTTTTAACAGGGTTTTTAATAGTCTTTGAAAGTAATGCATCTGGTTGTAAGGTTTCAAAAACTGTTTTTTGAAAGCGATGTAACAGTGATTGTAAACATTAATTACATTAATTATATTTTGCTATACAGTAATTACCTGGCCTTTCTCAAAATCTCGTTTTAACCAGTATGTGTTTATAGTCTTCTTCCAGGGTATCAGGTTATTGCAGTAATTTTCAATAATATAACCAAATCAACCATTTTACTTCATATTTACTTTATTTCTAGAATGACTTTGCATTTCATGTAACATTTTCGGTAAAAAAGAGAAGAATAGTTGTTCATCTTGCTTGGTAATCATCCTGATTCTCTCGACTTTTTTATTAGTAGATAAATAAAGAACGTTTACAACAATAAAAATATCTTCAAATGTACTGGCAGGAAGTAATCAAAAATTATAAAACTGAAAAACTAATACCTGGTGCAATTTATACAAGCAAAACAATCAGAAAAACTCCTAATATTATTAAATCAAATTTAATGTTTTGTTATAATATTTTGTATGAACTTGAAAATACAATTTGAGCTTGTCCATTTTATAAGTTTGATAAAAAAATTAGATGCTTATAATCTTGTAATTAATCCAATGGATTTATTTACTATTAATTTAAAATTAGTAAATAATCAATATTCAAATCCAAGTGAATTTAAAGACGATATGAATTTAATATTTAATAATTGTTTTATCTCTAATGATATTGGAACTGAAATGTATAATTTAGGTAAAGAATTAAATTGTAATTTTAAGGAATGTTGGACTGTTTATTATTATCAAGAACAAAATAGTTTAGAACAAGAACTTTTTCACATTGAACCAGAAGATTTACAAGGATTTCAAATTGAACAAGAATATTCACAAGAATTTCAATTTGAACAAGAGACCTTCAAATTGAATAGCAGCGCACACCATCCCTTCATACTTACCACGTATAGTGGCCTCTCCAATATGTTTGGAAATCATTAAGAAAGACAAAAAGGACTATTTTAAAAAAGGGTTTTACTAATAAATGTAATGTAAGTAAATCCTAATTTAATTTTATTTTAATTTTTATTTGGTAAAAAAATTTTTAACAAAAGATAAAATTGTAAATTGTGAAATTGTGATTCATCATATTTGAACATGTGATCGTGTTTCAATATAATTAATTTACATATGGAAATGTTGTAATTGTTACCACCGGTTTCTGACGTTCGGTAGGTAGTAACAGAAAGAAATATAAGGATCGGTTAATAAATGACAAGGTAATATAACGATGTATAACGAGTGATAAGGTAAAAGTGTATACGGATAAACGATAATAAACGATTATGAACGATAATAAGTGATGTGATAGATTGAGGATAGATCGGGTGGCGTGTTGTGATATGGATAATCAACGGTGTATAGATAAGTGATAATGAAAGACAATGATAATAAATGATAATAAACAATAATAAACAGTGTGTTAAAAAATGATAAAACGTATATAAGTAATGTGGAAACAGATCGGCAGGTTTATTCAAATACGATATTTCGCGCTTCGGTAATATCCAGCTATCTAATTTTTAACGTTATAAAACTACACGAACTTATAACTACTTAAACTCTAACTGACTGAACTTATAAAAACCTACTCCAACTGCACCTCCAACAACGGTCCTTTTTATAGTATTGTTAAAATTCTGGTGCAAATCTGTCTTTCAAACAGAATTGTCTCCCGGCCAATTGTGGCGATCTGGGCACATTTGTCTATACAGACACCTGTATTCAGTCACTTTCCCACCGCTAAGCTTCCGTTTTTTATCTAATCACCAAATAATCAAAAATAACTAAAAATACCTATATTTAATAACTAAAAATAAGTAAATAAAAATAAAAGATAAAAATAGATAAAAAAAAGTAAAAAATATCCCGTGACATCATTATAATGATGCTTACCAAGTTAATCCAAATTAATCAAATTTCTATCAAGAAAATTCTTATCATTTTATATCCGTATAACATGAAATTTTTTTTTTATCTCAAGGTAAATGAATACTAATATATCATTATAGTTTGCCCCAACAAAATAGGTTTTTTTTCCTTGATCTTCCCATCGGATTTATTTTATACCGGATTTTCTTCTTCCTTTAGGTATGCGGGCTGGGAAATAATCAGAATTAAAAGTTAGAAAATCGTAAAATAAAGGTCTTACCAGCGCTCTTAAGAAATTAAACGTTAAACCCTACTAACAATGTTTAGTCTTTCTTAACTAGTAACCGTCCATTTTACTATTGTTCTAGGTATTTTTTGGTGTAATCCTTGGCATGCTTTTAGTTTAGTAAATCAGAGAATAGGATTTAAATGATTACAATTTTTTTTATTTTCCTATGAAAGTCTTTGTTTATCTTAGCCATTAAGGTTCAAAAAATCAAGTTTTTTATCTTTTTTCTTTATCCTACAACTTACTAACTTTTAATAATAATCATGGGTTTTTGTAGTGGATTTTGGGAAGTAACAAAGTTTACTGGGAGAGTAACAATGGCTGACAGGAGCAGCAATCGCTTCCACTGGTGGTCTGACAGCACCAGCAATTGGTGGACTAGTTTATGGAGGTGGCAAACTTGTAAAAAATATAGGAAAAGAGTGTGATTGTGAATTTGAATATTTAGGATTTTACAGAAGATGTAGGTATTGATGCTTTCACTTGCGGAATATTAAAATTTGGAACTGCCAAAAATTGTTGAAAAATGACCACCATTGTCCACTGCTAAGATTTTAATTAATACTGGCAAAACTATTAAATAGGAAATAAGGTGTATAATATTTTGGTAAAGGATAAGAAAAAATTGAATGTTATTATAAATTTATCATATTCATAAAGGACGGGGGAATAAGTTATGATGATGACTGCCCAATCTGCCAAGGTTCCTAAATTTTTTGTGGTAAGGAAACTTTCATTTCTTTTGTGTGTTAAACTTTTTTCTTCACTATTCCTCGTTTTTTCTTATTTCATACAACAAAATATTGAAATTATAGGAAAAAGTTGGACTTTTATTTCATTCTCATCACCAACGCATTTTTATCTCTCTTGTTATTCCTTTTTAGGAATAGCTTTTTATTTTCAAATTTACCTAACTTAGCAAGTTTTTTTTAGAATTAGTTTCATCTTGTTCCTCTTTTTTTTTCTTGTTGAGATTTAATTATTATTTTTTTAGATTTTTATGTATCAGTCATGGCAGTATGATATTTTTATGAAATAATTTAAAATAATTATCATTAGGAAGATATTTTTTTTTTGTAATTTGCAAGGTTTAGGGTTTAGGGTTATTGTTTAGCATGTTTTTTTAGTTTGTTATGTAGGTTTAGAACGGATAAATTGGATTGTCATTTAATACTTGATTGATTAAGTTTATTTTAGGTCTAAAATTAAATTGAATTCTTTGCTAAAATTACAAAATTGACAAATAAATGCTTATTATTAGTTACTAATAAATAACAATAATAAAAAATTCTATTTTTTTCATTCAGGTCTTATTAAATTTAGCTATGATTCCAAAAGGCAAGTCTAAAGTAAAAAGAAAATAAATTTATTAGCGTGGCTATTAATAAGATAAAAAATAAAGAAAAAGAAAAAATTAATAATCAATAGAACGTTTTCACCCACTCGCAATATTCCATTTGCCCTGTCGATCCGTTTTTTATATTCCATTTTTTTTTCGTAAAAGGCTCATATTTCCGGAATTAATAACCTTATATCACGGAATTTATCGACTTATTTACATTTTCCGTGAATGGATCCGTGAAAGGCTCATTTTTACGGAGTTATTACAGAAATAACGAATAAAATTTTTTATAGGGTTGAAATAAGTAAAGTCTCTATTGTAAAAATAAGTTATATTAGTATGCAAGATGTGGCTTTTTTTTGGTGGCAATAGTCATTAGTAATTTATACTTAATAATGCTTGGTCTTATAATAATTATGATAATAGAAATCGGTATCCTAAAATAGGGATAGGACCCAGAAATATATATAAAAGGGTCAGGTTTGAGTTTGCATATTTTGTACTAAAAAATCATGAAAATCTTTCCTTTTTTAGATAATTTTTGATAATGCCAGTCAGAATTTTATTTCCTATTATAGTAACTGACTGACATTATCATAATTCCGGGCCTGAAAAAATGCGTACAGCTCATAGTAAAAAATTTTTTCATCACCTGACCCCTATATATATATTTCTGGGTCCTATAGGGATCCCGGAGAACTTTGAAATAGAAGATTATGAGTAATTAAAAAAAATAAAAAAAAATACATGAGTATTTATGCTTGTGTTAATTAATTAAAATTTTTGCAATTATAATCTTCTCTATGTTGAAAGAATTAAATCTAAAATTGAGATGCTTCATTATGAAATTACGTGAAAATTTTAAACATTTGAATTTAAATATAATAATATAATTTTTATAATTTAAATAAAACTGAATCAACTGCTATAATAATAATATAAATAATGTAGGTGATAATTATTTCTGCAAAGACAACCAAACAAACCGCATATAAACCTATAAAAATATTTATAAATTTTATTAAATGATCGTAAACCGCAGTCGTTAATGTTGTATGAATGGAATTGCAATGTTTCCGGTTATAGAAATTGATCATCATAAAATAATATAAAAAGCGTTTGTACCCAAAACTTAAATTTTTACTGCGTTTCCTGCTTATCTTATTAATTACATTTAAAAATTAAAAACAATGTCTTCAAAATTTTGGGCAGAATTATCTAACGATTACGAAAAACTTTTTGAGTCAGAAATTGGATATGACGTTATTATTTATGCTGGTGAAGAGCAATATGTTAAGGAAATTCATGCTCATTCAAATATTTTGTGCATTAGGTCTCAATATTTTCGCTCTGCTTTTTCTAATGAATGGGCTGAGAAAAAAGATGGAAAATTTATTTTCAAAAAACCTAACATTTCTCCACAATTATTTAATATTATCCTTAGGTATTTATAATGTTTATAATAAATTTATGTTATAAAAAGAAAGTCTAATTAATATTATATTATTTGTACTGTGCATTAGGTTTATTTATTGTGGAAATATTGAATTAAAGAATTTACAAGGTCCTGATGTATTGAAATTGTTAATTGCAGTTGATGAACTTAATATTCATCCTTTGGTTTCTTATATTCAAGAATTTTTGATTGAACATCAAACTGAATTTTTATACCAAAATCCAACTGAAATTCTTGAAACTGTTTATCAACATGAAACATTTACAGATTTATGGGATTTCTGTCTCGAAAAAATTTGTGAAGAACCTAAAGTTATATTCAATTCTGATAAATTTATTGATTTAAAAGCTCCTTTATTAGAATTATTGTTAAAAAGAGATGATTTAAATATAGAAGAAATTGAAATTTGGGAGAATTTGTTAAAATGGTGTCTTTCTCAACAAAATATAAAGAATGAACCATCAAAATGGAATAAAGAAGATATTACAAAAATTGAGAGGGAATTGTACAGATTTATTCCTTTAATTCGATTTTATGATATTGGACCTACAGATTTCTTTTATAAAGTTTATTGTTATAAAGATGTCTTACCACAAGATTTAATTTATAATCTTTTAGAATTTCATATAGTTCCTAATATGAAACCTAAAGATAATTTGACACCTTCAAGAAAGCCAAATTTAAAAGGTGCAACCTTGATTGAATCAAACCATATGTCTATTTTTGCTTCATGGATTGATAAAATGGATTCTTCACATTATAATAGAAAAAATATTCCTTATGACTTTAAATTATTATACCGCTCAAGTCAGGATGGTTATGATACTAAATCTTTTCATGAAAATTGTGATAATAAAGGAGCTACTATTTGGATCGCAAAAATTAAAAATTCTACACAATTAATTGGTGGGTATAATCCACTTGATTGGAAGGGCAATCGTAATTGGAAAACTACAGCAGATAGTTTTTTATTTAATTTTACAAATGGAAGAGATATTTCTACTGCAAAAAGAAGTTATGTCAGTATACATAGTGTGGCTGTTTTTTGTGACCCTAGGTATGGACCAGTTATGGGTAATTTGTTCTGTGAAAATAATGTTTGGTTTTATAATAATGATGATAGTGGAAATCGTTATCCTAAAATCGGAATCCCAGCAAATTTTGAAGTAGAAGATTATGAAGTATTTCAAGTAGTTAAAAAAAAGAGAATTTAACAATAACCATTTTTTGTGAACTTAAGTAAGATTCATGTTTATTAAGTCTAAATTTGATATTATAAATGATTAAGTTTATATCTAAACATGTACTATAGTATTTTGTATATTAATATCAGATTATAAACTTATATAACTAGTCTCAGATTAAACTCAGCGTTATTTCAGTTCTTATAAATTACTAAAAGGATTCATAGTTTGTTTTCATATCTATACTTTTTATCACGTCATTTCTTTTTTTTTTATTTGAATTTAACGGTTTTGTCCACTTTGAAAATGGCGGTAAATTTTTTGTTCATGTTGATGATGACTAAACAATATTGGTATAGTAATAAATAAATAATAGTTATTAGTTGGGGGTAAAATATCGGTCACCTTGAAGGGGTGACACGATATTTTATCCATCATAACCAATAACTAGGTCATTGTGTCAGTCACGCAAGATTATTAAAAAGTATAACTAAACTGTAAAACTTGTCATAAGAACAAAAGAGTGATTCGGGTTATTTTATCGAAATTGTCCAAATCTTAAATATCTAAAATTTTCACCTCAGGATACTGATTATAATCAGGAATAATATTGATTGGATTAATTTATTCAAAATACCAACTAAAAATATTACAATTAGTTTGTATAAGTTTAACTTGTGTATTAGTAGTTCTATTTTTAGAAACCTTATTACAAATGATTGATGTATAAATATCATAAAGACTACGACCCAGTGTACCATTATAATATACCGGGTATAATAGAATTAGGCTAATTACGGCCAATTTTTTCATAATCCATACAAAATACCCCGGGTTTAATTCAATTGGTAAATTGAGTTATACCCATATAATACTTCTATTGATAATGTATAATCAAAATAATGTAAAATAATTTGCATTACTTCATACTCCAGTTATATTTTTTTAATATTATAATTTGTCATGAACAAAAAAAAAATTCTCATTAAGTCTCTATAATTAATTTGTTTTAGAAAAGTAAATTTACAAAGAACTTTAATTAATCAGTTGTAATGATTTTAGATATGATTATTCATCTTTATAGACTAATCAAATATTATTTAACTAACCAATTATTAATATTATTTATTAAGCTACTATAAGCACTAATAACTAAATCATTATAACTTCGAATTTTAATATTATGTATTTCAAATTCCTTCACTTCATCTTTCAAATTAAACAATTCTTTGCCACTTTTAATACCCTTAATAGCCAAATATTTGACTCTTTTTCCTTCATAATATATTCCTTTATGTAATGTAAAATATCATCACTACCACATTGCATTATTAATAATTTATTAATGACAATATCTTGAGAATTTTTTAAGAATACTCTAAAATATAATGGTGTAGTTAGCCGAAAAATTCAGCCGAAGGCGCAGTAAATTTTCGGCTAACAACACCCAGCCGAAAAAAATTCATGTTGATCCTGAATATTTTATTGGTTCAACATCTAACTATTTTCGGCTGAATATTTTCGGCTATATACACTTTTTTTTATATAGTAGTGTAGTTAGCCGAAATATGGGCGTGCGTCAGTTAAAAAGGGGGAAATCTACGTTTTCATCATTTTGAGAAAAATGAAATTAACTTATTTGCAAAGGGGGAAATTTGGTGGCTAAACTTTTATCCATATCATGTGACTTTACCTTCATCATTTACGTCATTCTATTGCTAAATAAGTCAATGATCGTCAAATAATGAAATGATCGTCCCTATAGCATATTTCAGTTATTTGATAATTTATTATGCTTATCGGCATACAATATTATGTGAAAATAGTGCACATTGATGGTTTACACAATATAAGCCAAAAACCTCAAATTTGGTTTTGAGGTAGATTTCCCCTTTTTTAACTGACGCACGCCCATATCCAAATAGCAGTCAATATGAAATAATAACAAAATTTCATTTATTATAGAAACAAGAAGTACATAACATTACTATACTTATTTTTGGACAGTGCATTATTTTTGATTAAATAAAACTACAAAATATTTGTTATTTTTAACTCATTTATTTCTGTCCGATCATACTTCAATATTAGATTTTTAGTAATTTAATTGTAAAAAAGAAATTTTTTTAATATTTAATTGTTCTTTAAATTAATGATTAGTTTATTTAACCATTAAAACTATAACAACACAATTATACAAATAAAATAAAAAAGGAAAATTTTTTAAGGGATTTGAATTGTATTTGAAATATATGTACATTATTATTTTTTTTTTTTATTATACAATGGCAAAAATATTTTTTGTTTTAATTTAAAGTCTTATATTATTCACTAACTTTGACAAATTTCAAGTTTTTTGCATTATTTTTTTATTTTTAATATACTAATTTTTAGATAAGATCCAACTCAAAAAACAAAAAGCATTTGAAAAAATATTTCAATAAACACTTAGAGACTGACAAGAAGTTATATATTCCATATTTAGTTTGGAGATTATTTTATATAAATAATTTTACCTGAAATTTTCAATTTAACCAATTTTAGGCCAGAATTAAGAAAATTTCGGCCAGAATTATGGATTCGAAAATCATTAATTTAGCCAATTAAACAAGTTTAGATTGATTTTAAACTTTACAAATGTATTATGTATTTGAAGAGGGTGCTATAAAACATAATAAAGTGAATTAGGAGGTTACATGAACAATGTCTGCTATTTGGATATTTCGGCTAACTACACTATTATTTAAAAAAAGTGTATTTAGCCGAAAATATTCAGCCGAAAATAGTTAGATGTTGAACCAATAAAATATTCAAGATCAACATGAATTTTTTTCGGCTGGGTGTTGTTGGCCGAAAATTTACTGCGCCCTCGGCTGAATTTTTCGGCTAACTACACCATTATCTCTAAAATCACTTTTTTTAATATTAAAAAACAAATTTATGTAATCTAATTTAGAAGGAAGAATTTGTCCTAAATTTTGTAATATCATTGAACTACAATTTGTTAAATGATTATCTTCCAATCTATTGATTGAAAGACAACTAAGTCTTTGTTTAATATAATCAATTAAATTAATTAATTGATAAGTAAGCCAACTTTCAGACATAACAAAATGAAGAAATTTGATATTCTTACAATATTTTAATAATAATTGTTGAATTAATGATTCATTATAGGAGAAACCTAAATTTTCTAAATAATCACCAGATTTTTGTAATAATTGCTGTACTGTTTCACTTTGTGATGTCTTATTTGAAATAAATAAAGATTTTAATTTAAATAGTTTAGTAAAATTAATAATTTGTTGAATAAAGCTATTCAAGGAAAAACAATAAAAAATATGAACGGATTCTAAAACATTTAATTGTTCTAATACTTCATCAAGATTGTTTATTAATTTAAAATTGACGTGATAGAAAATGATTGATTGTATTTAAGGTATTTGAACAATTATAATCTTTTGATAATAACAATGATTGATATAAAGATGTATGATTATTCACTAGTATTATAATTTTAATTTTCTTATGATTTTGACGTAAATGAATTATTTGTGATATACGATCATAAATTATCGTATTATCATTATGATTTTCGAATTTCGATACGAAGTGAATGAAATTTTGATTTTTTATAATTAACTCAAGAATATCATCAAGGCATGCATGATTTGAGATCTTAATTTCAAGAGTATATAAATCTACTTCATTTTCAATAAAAATTTTAAATAGTGATATAAGAACTAAGCTCCTAAAATCCTGTTCAGAATCATATACTAAGGATTTTGTACTAATACAGTAGTAATAGTATCAGCCAACCACTGCTCAACAGAGAAAATAAACTTATCTATATTCAAATATCTTAAAAACTTTGAATAATTAAACAGTATGATATTCTTTGAAGATAATGAAATATTAATAATTTTTATTCATTTAAT